AGATATGCCTAATTAAACACTTTCCATAAATAGCAATGGGACTAACACATAGCACATGATAGCAAGGGTGTTTTGTCAGATATGGTAAGTTATCATATCTAGTCTAAACACACTCAAAATGCTCAATTAACTCCACTAGCACAAAAAGGTTTAATAAAGGGTTTAGTAATATTGATCTCATACTTGTAATTTTTTAAATTTGAACTTCCCAAAAGTGTAAGTAACCAAACAGAATGATTTAAGAGATGATCGATGGGGTTCAAATATATAGGGAAAGAGCCAATAAATAAGAGTGCACCCCCTTTTCCAATAGGTTAAGGGTTTTGAGATACTTAGGGTTAAGTGTCTTTGGGTTTGAAATTCAGAAGCTTACAGAGAGGTCACATAGCTTAGTATTATTTAAATTTTCACGAATGTGATTGTGGGTATCGAAAGTTATTTATTAGATAGTCCTTTCATATATTCTTTCCTTACTACTACTATGGCAAGAAGTCAGTATTGTAGACCCTTTATCAGTCCCTCTTATTTAAGTGTTAGTAAATTTGACTTAACACCAATACTTGGCCAAAGGAGCATAAAAAAGGAATTCTTAAGGGTCTATTTAGCTAAATATATTTGGCCCGGATCCCTCAATATTTGCTAAATGATAGCTTATTGTGTTTGCTAAACACCCTTGCTATCATGCCCTTTGTGTTAGTCCTATTCAGGTCCAAATTATTATTTATAAAAAGTGTCTAGATCTGTTAATTTAGCATATCTTCCGAAAAACTAACTCTTAGTACTATGGGTGGCTAAGGGTGAAAGCTCAAAGCATGGTGGGGTAGGGGGGGCTTGTGGGGGATTCCAAATGTACAATAGGGATAATAATAAGTAGGTCAGGCATGGCCGACCAACCTAAAGCATATTATAACTCTTGTTTGCTTATCTGTCTTTGTTTTACATTTGGCTTAGGTCTAAACCCAAGTTCTACACCATGTTAGCTGGTGGAATACTCATACCCTCATCTTAAGCCATTGGTATACTAAAATAGCACTAGACAATATTTTGCATACTGATCCTAGCATTAAGATATTAGATGCTCTAAATCTATTCCAAATTGCTTTATACTTTTGTTCTTTCACTTCTTGGGTTGTATGCTTGGGAGTCACCTTTGCTCTTTAGCTCCATGCTTAAGAGTTTGGCTCTATCCCTTTATTTAATAGTTTAATGCCTTGAAATTTGAGTTCCACTCCACTATCCTTTGACATATAGCATATGGCATATAGTATGTAACACATGGCATATAAAGGGTTTAAGTTCTACTTTATGGTTATCCTATAATAAATCACCATAGAATAAAGAGTGAAAACTAAATATGTTATATAAAACCAAGGACACATAACCCTAAGACTTTTGACCTATTAAAAAAGGGGGTGCACTCTTGTTCATGGGGTTTTTCCCTCTATATTTGAACCCGAACAAATCATATTTTGAGTCATTCTCTTTGGTTGCTTACATTACCATCATGGTAATACAAAAAGAATATATGAAATTCACTAATAGATAACTTTTAATATCTACAATCACATTTGTGATAACTAGTGATCATAATGTGTATGTCAATCTTTATAAAAACTTATGAGTAGTTTTTTGAGTTACTAATTACTTGGTAGTGGAATAGTAAACAAGATTGCCAGCTCAAGCCAAAATAATGTCCTAGGGTGATGCTATTGCACTTGTTTTTCCTAATTACCTCACATTTAGCTAAATCCATGAATAACTAACACCATGTTTTATGCTCAAGAGGAGCCATTATGACACAGGTTCTTAAGCTTTATACCAACACTTTAAGGAAGGAGAAAGTGATCCAAGCCTGAACAATATGTGTATACTATGCTTTTCAACCCTTGGCTAACCCTTGGCTAAACTCTTTTACTTGCTCCAACTCAAACTTGATATCCAATTTGCAATTTCAAGATGTGAATATAAAATTGATTGTAAGAGTCTATTAAATGTCATCTTACAAGGGGACAATATTACCCCATATTGTGCAAGATATTTGATATAAACAATGGCAAGTTATGGGAATGGCAAGGATTTAGGTTGTGAGGATATCATGAAATGTTTTGTAATTTAAAAAGTATTTCCTGCAGGCTTAATACTTTGCTATACACAAGAACAAGTGCATGGATTTAGATGTTATCCTAGAAATCCAGCAAGAGATTATTGATAATATGTCAATCAAAAACTTATGCTGGGCAATGTTTAGTGTACGTATATTTATAAAGGGTGGCTTTCCTTTTTTATTCAATTAGAGTACAACAAGAAAGGAGAATATATTCGTTTTAGGGTTTAAGCCAACGATGGCGCAGCGCCGGCAGTACCAGGCGAGGAACTCGCCGGCGATGGAGTGGAAGGCGAGGGATCCGGCGACGAGGCCTTCGGATTTATCCGAGAATGGCAGGTATTGCAAGCCGGGGTTGGTGTTTGTAGCGTATTTGCCGCAGGATGAGGCGAATTCCTCGCAAGCGCTAGAGATTATCGATTTTCTCAACGCAGAGCTCAGCCGGCTTTTGAGAATGAAGGCGCGGGAGTTTTGGGAAGAAGGTATGGATTTTTTGCTGCATTTTGTGACTGACGCTTTGTTGTTTTTTTATTTCCTTGCTTTAGTTACTGCGAATGAGTCTTTGCATGAGTTTCTAGAAAGCTACTTGCTTTATCGAAGGCGATGGTACGATCTTCATCCGACTGGCGGAGTGGTGCCTGGAGAAGACGATCTGAGCCGACGAGTTTTTATGGTGCTTCTCCGGATGTAAGCTCAAATGTCATCTTCTTCTTTCACTCTCGATTGGATCAACCAGGTGCTCTGACGAAGATCCTGGTTTGTCCAGGATTAGTGCAGGTATGTATGTGCTTTCTTCTGCCTTTGGTCGATACAAGCGTTTGTAGTTTTTGATAGCTAAGTTTCGTGTGGAGGACAAGTTTAATGTGGCAAAGCTCTTGAATGTTTGCGCGATCTATGGACACGACAATCCGGAGTTGACGCGGAGATTGGTACTGTAAATCTGGACTCTGAGTTTCATTTTGTGTGTTCTGAAAGTGAATTTTGTTTGAAGGTTAGTACCGTATTGAAGTTCCAGCCTTCGTATTTGCAGACCCTTTCTGACGTTGCTCGTCAAGTCCTTGCTACGATCGATGGAGTTAATAAGCGCACTCTCGAGGTATGATTTGCATGCTTGATGTGATTGGCTGACTCGTATTCTCTAGAGCATTGGACATTCAACCAACAAATCCAACTCAGAATTCAAGGACGAGCTTATGGAGGTTTGAGTGGTTTGCCATTGGTCCTCTTTTGTCCACTCACACTGATTGTAACAGGCTGTAGTCTTATTGCACGATACAGTGATGACACTAAACGCTTTTGTTGAGATTTATCCTCCTGCAGCGGGTTTTTTCTTGTCGGCAGAGCCTGCGTAAGCCGAGGTTTCACTCTTTCTGTTTGCTAATAGTTATTTTTATGTGCAGTAGAGACAAGAGTCTAATGTTCTCTTTATCGTGTGTCTACAACTCGCTGCTGCCGTCAGTAAGGAAACAATCTATTGGAGAAGAGCTTTCTCGATATCTGGACACACTCCAACGGGAGCTTGTGCATTTTGCCTGGAGCCTTCTTTTCAATTCCTTCTTTGGAGATACAACGACTCGGATGGATTCCAAAGCCAATGGAGAGGTCTTTGTGGACGCGCTGATTGGCCTTTCATTCGGCAGCGACGGAGCTAGTTTAATACATTCCCTATCCAACATGTTTGACTTGTCTGGGAACGTTCATAGGCTTCTTCAAGAAGGTACGTGCTTAGTTTATGCATTGTCTTTCCTGACCCGTTGCTCTTCTTTCTTATCAAGGCTCAATTGTTCTCGATGATGGCCAATATGCCCAGTTACTTGCTTTGCTACCTGATATGCCTTCGACAAATTTTGTTGAAGACAGAAAGCCACCAGTCAGTGTTTCTCACGAAAAGGATGAAGAGGACGCTATTCGTCAGTCACATATCAGTCAGATCAAAGACTTGCTCCCTGACTACGATGACGCGTTCCTTTCAGCATGCCTTGAGGTGTACGACAGCAATCCCGAGATCGTTATTCAGCATATTTTGGAAGGCACTATTCACCCCGACCTGACCTCCACACCGAAAAAAGGTAAAGGGAAGCTCGTCGACTCAAAGAAAGAAGATAGAAGCAACGTCGATGCGAAAGGGAAAGGGAAAGCTGTCGAAAACCAAGCAAGCAAAGCACAGGGGCGGTTCGTAAGAAAGAGACAAAACAGGGACGACGATGCAGCCACCATTCTTGACGAACGAGATGCCGGCACGTCCAATCAGACGGCAAAGCTAGCAATGCAGCTGATGTATGAAGACGAGTATGACGATTCTTTTGACGACCTTGATACGAACGTGGCGGAGGCGGGTCTCGAGACAGACAGCCTGGTGAATCTGTTTTCCCGCACAAAACTTTCTTCAGATTCTTTGGAGGACGGACAAAAAGCCAAGCCTTTCTCTGCGAGCCAGAAACAAGAACCGTCTGGAAGGCCGCAACGAAAGCAGGAAGCGTCACGATTCTTTGTTAAAGACGGGAAGCACTACAACTACAAAGTCGCTGGCGCCGTGGCAGTCTCGAGTCTGGAAGAAGCGGAGGCCTTGAAAAAGCAGGAGGAGGGACTCATCTACGGGCTTGGTCGGGGTGGTAACGTTCCCGCAAATTCTGATGGTGAAGATGACAAGGAAGAAGATGACGGAGGAGAAGATGACAAGGAGACAGCGAAGGGTACCTCTGCTGCAACGCAACATCGTGCTCACGGGGAAAGGGGAAAGCCACCATACAGGCCGCAGTTTGCGACCAAAAAGAACCACAACAAAAAGGACTTGTCCTTGAAGAAGCACATGTCTGGACTGAGAGGGAGTTAAGGTATTGTCTCATTTTCAAGTCAACTGTTTCGATTATCTTCGATCTTCTCCAGCTCGAAAAACGTAAGATGATTCTGTTCACTTTCAATTTGAATGGTTGGTGACCGTTGTGTTTGTTGTGCAGGCTTCTATGAAATGTAACTTTTTGTCTAGAATAAAGCTGCTAATAGAAGGTGCCAAGCTCAAACTCACAGAAGGCTCATTCTTTTTATAGGATTACCTGAACTGCAGAGTCTTCTTGGGAACTTGCGATGGCTGCCTCCAGCAAGCCTCGAGTTCTCATCATCGGGTGCACTGGCTACATCGGGAGGTTCATTACAAACGCCAGCATTCGTCTCGGCTATCCGACTTATCTGCTTGTCCGCCCAGAGGTTGCAAGTGATGTGGACAAGGCTGCCATGGTAATTGGCTTCAAGAGCGCCGGAGCAACACTCGTCGAGGCAAGTCGATTCTCATATCTCCCTTTTGTATTTTTAAAGCGTTTTGTTTTCTCCAGGGATCTGTGACTGACGAAAAGAAGCTCGTGGAGGCTTTAAAGCTGGTCGATATTGTCATTTGCAGCATAGCAGAAAAGAATTTGAATGACCAAGTGAAGCTCATTCAGGCTATCAAGCAAGTTGGGACAATCAAGGTGACAATTTCTCTAGCCGTTTTACTTTTTCTTCCCGATTTTATCGCGACTTGTTGCAGAGGTTCTTACCTTCGGAGTTTGGAATGGATCCCGGGCTCATGGATCACGCAATCGCTCCGGGGAACAAAGTTTTCATGGACAAGATGAAAATTCGGAGGGCCATCGAAGCGGCACAAATCCCACACACGTACGTCTCCGCGAATTGCTTCGCTGGTTACTTCCTCTCTGGCATCGCACAGTTCGGCCGCTTCTTTCCTCCTCGAGACACAGCTGTCGTCTACGGTGAGGGAAATGCGAAAGGTACTACACACCACACGAGACGCGACGTAGATTTTTCTCCTTGTTTTCTGCCTCAGTGATTTGGGTGGACGAGAACGACGTCGGGACTTTTGTGCTCAAAGCCGCCGAGGATCCGCGGACTCTAAACACGTCTGTGTACATCCGGCCACCGAAGAACATACTCTCCTTGAACGAAGTCCTCCAGCTGTGGGAGAAGAAGATCGGCAAAACGCTCGAGAAGCACACCTTGCTTGAAGAGGAGTTCATGAGCATGATAAGCAACGGTAAGAGAGAAGCAATTCCAATACAAAATTCTTCTTTCATTTCCTCAACGCCGTGTATACATGCAGAGAAGGCTTCTTTGCCGGAGAGAGCGGCCCTTGCACACTTCTATCAGATATTTTACCGAGGGGACCTGATGTTTGAGATAGGCCCGGACGGGCGAGACACGGGAGAGCTCTACCCCGACGTAAGCTACACGACTGTGGACGCCTACCTTGATCGTTACTTGTGAACGTATTACTTGCTTTAGAATAGTTCCTTGGTTGACTTATTTGTAGCGCCTACTTTTTCAGCTCCAGCAACTCTACGCTCATGTCAAATGTGGCTTTTGGCTGCAACCAAAGTCAGTGTCTTCTAGAGATCTCGAGAAAAGCTTACAGGAATTTCGTTCATCCCTCTATCTCCATAGCCGACATCAGGGGTGACGATCACAGTTCTCTGCCAGTGAGGCGAAGATGAGCAAAGAAAAATAAACAAATTTTCTCTACCTTGCCTCCGACACGCATGCCTTCGACGACTGTGTAGAGCGCCGGAGGCGGCTTTGGCGAGGCCTGGGCCGAGAAGAGGCCATTGGCATTGTCTACAAACTCTCGCTTTCGTTCTCTGCCGGGAACAGATCCTACGATAAGCTCGTAAGGCTGGAAAGAGAGAAACGAAAGGTTAAAGGACCAGCTTTTTTTTTCTGTTCGATCTTACTTCACCTGAGCTATAATTCGATTCCCACCCAGGAGTTTTGCTTCTCGACTAGAGACGGCGTCTATTCCACGGTACAAGCAATCAAAGTGAACCTGCCAAGTCTTATCTTTGATCCCCGGTAATCTATCAAGCTTGAGAACGTACTACTACAGTCTCGCCTTTGACAGCAACAGGACCACTGCCTTCGAGAACGTCGTAATACTTTAGACCGTCAGCTGTGCGGTCGAAGTTCGCTCTCTAGCATAAGCAGAAGGAAAGAAGGAACAATGGGTGCCTACCAGTGGTTTTGTAGTCTTCGATGGGAATCACCTTTTTGTTCCTTCCCCGAGCAAAAGCTACCTCAATCCTCGGTGCCAGAGTCGCGATGCAAATCGCAATGCTGATTCTCCGCCTGCAAAACGATAGCGAGCTCTTATCTCCAGCTGCTGCCCTTACAGTTGGCGATTTTTGTGCGGAGAAGTGCTGCTGGCTGCGTTGCCCAAGTGCCCATTCCAGGACAGCCGCCATTTGTAGAGGAGCTCGGGACATAGCCAGACTCGAAGAAATTCCCTGTTTGGTGCAATTTAAATGAACATAAATTAATTCCATAATTCTTGTGTTTAAAAATCGTTTCATTGGCACGTACATGCTTTGCATTATCAAGGCCCTGCTAAAACATCCTAATGCCATGACCAGATCTACAGTCTTTCTCCTCTTCCAGTCTACAATTCTTTAGTGAACTCGACAATAGCACAGTTTCTCCTCCACCGAGTGAAAGGCCACACACCAGAGACAAGTGAGGCAGTCCTAGAATTCTCTTGTCGTATGAAAAACTCTCTCTCTAAACAGACTTTTTGCCTTTCGATGATATTGCATTTCGAATGCCATGGTGAAGCCACAAATAAAGAGAATCAGAAATGCAGAAAACAGGGACAGAACATAAGAAAACAGTCGAATGAAAGTAGCTTCCATTTGCGTTCACGTAAACACGTGAGCGAGGGATGCAAAAAAAAAAAAAAAAAAAAAGAAAAAAAGAAAAAAAAAATTCAGAAAGAAAATACAAGAAACGTTTCTCTCCTTTTACCAATGAAGAAAAAGTCTAGACACGTTGGAAGACGTAGAGGTAGCCCATGTCCTTGGGAGGATCACCCGAGAGTGCCACTTTAGCGTCGTTGAAAATCACCCATCGCCCTTCCTTCAGAATATGGGCAACGTAGTGGCCACACAGTGTTGAAGATCCCATATGGCTCACAAAGCCCATTAGCTTGTACTCTGTCCAATCCACCAAGACATAAGCTAGAGCCAGGAATACCATACCACAAGAAACTTACTTCCAGAGCCATCCGGCAAGTCGTGTGGAACCGAGGATGAGGGAGTGCTCGAACCTCCTACATCAAGCTCCATCGCATTGGCATCGTCAGAATTACTGAAGATCCACTCTGCTGCATCCTCCGTGCGACCGCCCTGCTTTCACAGATATTGTTTCATTACTATCCTGGACTGAGGAAGAGAAACGGACGTTACCGTCGCTCTGAGAGCCTTCCGAGCAAGATCGGCAGAAAAGCCCAACGCAACCAGGGCCTGCACAGCGTTCTCGTCCACGTTGGCGTTGGATGAGCTGTGGCTGTAAGGCACGTCGATATCTGCCAGTAAAAGCAGCAAAATCACCAGAATTGTATTTCAAGTTTAATTACCAGGATCGTCCATGTGAGACAACAGCCACTCCATTGCCGGTTCTGCTCCGTGGTTGGACGTAAAAATCGCGGCCTTCTCGCAGCGAACGCGAGGAAATCCCATGTCCATCAGTTGCGAGACTATAGCCTCGTCAGCTACAGGTCCCTCGGCTTCATCATCTGTACAAGATAATTAGAAAATAGAGCCAAAGTTAAGAGCTTCGAAAACCTGCTTCAGGAAGCAACTCCTCGCCGGGTTGGAGTCCCTTGCCACGCATATGACTGATATCGATGGTGTCCGGAACGTCCAGGAAGACATCTTCAGAACGAAAAGAAGAATAAAAAGGATTGGAAAAAAGTTAAGTAGAAGTATACCAAGTTTTTTAGGAACCCATGAAGCATCCAACTGGAATTTACGCATGTGCAGAAGAAGGTATGTTGGAAACGTCGCCAAACTTGTCATTCTACAAAACGGACAGCATCTGAACAACAAACTATGTCTATTTGCGTTCCTTACTTGAGAGCTGTAGTTCTTGCGTTTACGGCAGTACTGTAGAACTCCACCTCGTCAGGGGCAGCAAATCTATCCAAGCATGCTGACAAGGGAATTCTTGGTCGTACAACCTCTCTGAAAATTTATGTGAGTGAGGAATCGGCACGAAACAGAAAAATATCTTACATTTTTTCTCCAGAATTCCCACCCTCCGACGTGATCTTTTCATATGCTGCAACCTCATCTGCAAAATAAATTTAGCTCTCGATTAAAAGCAAACAGAATAAACGAAACCTCTGTTAGTTGCAGCATCCAAAGGAAGTGTAAGCGACAATGCATTGTCCACGCGTTTTGTATACTTCACCTTCCCCGAGGAACAGCAAACAATTCGCTCCTCAACCAGAAACTTGAAACAACGGGACGGGTCTTCGTTTGGGTTTGCAACATTTTCACGCTCAACTTGCTCCAAAAAATATTGGAAGAATTCAAATGCATCCTGCCCTTGCCGTATTAAATCCTCAAAAACTCATATATGTAAATCAATGTACCTGCTGTCTAGAACTCGCAAACTCAGGGTGACCAGCGCCAATTAATGATTTGAACATTCGTGGCGGTATCCCTTTCTGAAACTGAACATCTAAATAGTGAGGAAAACAGGCAGTACAACAAAAAGACAAACCTGGTTAGCCACCTCCTTATCAGTGACGCCCTGAACCTGCGCGCAAAGAGTTACAAGTTTTTATGAGGACGAATGGCCAATACCTCGGGTTGTTCTGAATATTTGCCAGATAGCAAACCATGGCCTAGTTTGGACCTTTCAGAAGAACATTCTTAGTTTATTGCGCAAAGCTTCCTTTACTTACAGCTGCGTGTTCAAATCCTGAGTTGGATCTGCGGCAGCTAGCTGGAACGCGTCGTCCAGCTTGAGATTACCGTAGTATCTAGATCCAAAATCTTTAGCTAAACTAAATGCGAAAAAGACTTACCGCAGCTGAAAATCCCGAGTTGCAAAGATGATCTGTAAAACTGATGCCAAGTAGCAGCTGCCACTGGGATCAGCGAGGGCACACAAACAAACGTCAAAGTTCCATACCTGTTTCCTAAGTTCACAAGCCCCGTGAACCCTGGGCCAAATAACGGCTCTAGCTCCTTTCCCTTTTCTTGAATGCGATTCCAATCGAAATTTACGTTTTGATCCAACTCTCTTTCAGCCGTAGTCATTTCCGTCTGGTAGTAGCATGAAAAGAACTTAGCCAAAGAAGAAAAAGAACGGTAGACATAAAGACCTTCTTTAGTGCCGCAAAGTTTATGCCGAAGTGTGCCAAGTGTTGTGCAAGCAAGGGATCGGTCACAGTATCGTCCTCGGCATATGAGAAAACGTCTACGTTGCAAAGACAAAAGGTCAGCCTGAAAAAGAAAAAAGAAAAAGAAAGAGGACGGACTTAATTTTTACCTGCAGTTTCCAAGTCTGCTGTTATGGTACCAAGCTTCACGGCTAGAGGATACTTCACATTGGCATAATGCTCCAAGGCGTGGTTGTTTCCTCCCGTGCCATCAAAGTTCCGTCGCCCGCAGAGAATGGATCCGTCAGTGAGGTTGAGCCAAAGATTCTCTTGCTTATCACATCTCTGGCACTTCCATCCGCTTGGAGGAACGCGTACACCGTTGTTTAGCTGCTGCAAGCTCTGTGCGTAGATGCTCAATTGCTTCTTATCAGCAGTCCAAGCAGAGACTTGCTCCTTCCGCTCGGCACCCACAGATTGGACGACGGCGTCCACGCACAATCTGACCTGACAAACCAAAAGTTCTCAAGCAGCCAAACCAAGAACTTTAAGTTCGCATGCACACCTTCTCTGGAAGCTCGGCACTGGATAGCGGTAGAGTTTGGTAATCCGGGAGTATCACGATGCTCAAAGTCTCGTCATACTCCGGCTCCTTAGTTTCAAAGCCACCCTCGACTCCTGATAGCAAAAGAAGAAGCACAGTAAGAGAAGAAAAACCAAAAGGATCTTCATACCTATCGCGAGAAGCGTGGGTTTCTTGTGAGGGCGATCATCCTCCTCGTCGGATTCTTTCAGCGTGTGCTTGATATGGAGATAGACCGAACTCCCGGTTTTCTTGAAATTCCACATTGCTTGCTCGCGACCGAACGCCAGAAACGATGTGAGATCCACGAACAGGCCTCCATCGGATTTCTGGAGAAAGAGCTCATAATCCAGGCTACGAGGATGATTCTTACCGGCGTGTCGAACGTGAGGCAGCACTCCTCCTTGTAGATCCGCGTCGAGGCCTGCGGCATCCCAACGTTGGAGAGCGCCATGGATGAAAAGCCCTAAAATCCTGGAAGAGTCAAGAACCCTAAATTAGAGTAGCGCGGACGACGCGATCGAGTGGATCTCTTCCTAAATGCGCGATCAATCGATCGATCGGCCGGAGCTGCGGATCTAGAAAATGCAAAGCGCGCAGGATGGAGGTGGGATTCGATTGTCGCCGTGGATCCGGGAGAGCGCGACGATGTTTGCGCTCGCGGGATCTAGCAATATGTGTGGATCGGCAGTGACGAATCCTGTCAACGTTGTTAAGGTGCGAATGCAGCTGGATGGAGCGCTGTCCGCGACTCAGGTAAGAAGATTTCGCTTAGAAATTTCTAGTAGAAGAGATTAAAACGCTAGAACTAGTGATAACTTATGTTGTGTTCTTCCGCTAGGAAAGACACTATCAGGGACTCCTGAAAGGAATCGTGCGTGTGTCCAAGGAAGAAGGCATCTCGGGGCTATGGCGAGGCACTGGAGCGGCTCTTTTGAGAGAAGCCTCGTATTCCAGCATTCGAATGGGACTCTATGAGCCACTCAAGAGGGTAATCTCTTTCTTCTTCGGTTTTTCTTTCTAAAGTTCCGTTGTTACGTTTCCTCTCCCAACTCTTCCTCACTTTATTTTTTTCTTTCTCACTCCCCACTTTTTTGGTGTGTTTTTTCTTTTCTTTGTAATACTACTAGATGCTTGGAGCTGATAATCCATCACACACGCCTTTGTGGATAAAAATCACTGCCGGATCTCTTGCAGGTGTAATTGGTAGCGCTGTCGCAAATCCTACCGATGTTGTTATGGTTCGTATGCAAGCTCCGACTTCATCTCAAGGTACTAATATAAGAACACGAAACGTTTCTGTACTAGAGCTCAAACTTATATGTAATAGTTTTAGAGCTCAAACTTATAAACTTTGCTATCGTTTCAGGTGGATGGCACTACAAAGGCCCTCTCCATGCCTTTTCATCGATTGCCAGGACCGAAGGCATCCAAGGACTATACAGAGGCGTGGTTCCGACAATGCAACGAGCCGCGATCTTAAACGCCGTCCAAGTCCCGGCTTACGATCACACCAAGCACACACTGCTCAACGCAGGCATTGTCCGGGAAGGTATAGTCTGCCATTTGATCTCGTCAATGGTGGCGGGACTAGCAACAGCCATAGCCATCTCTCCAGTCGATCTCATAAGAACAAGGTGGAGTTTTTCTTTCTTTTATTTCCTCGTTTTAAGTTTCTGTCGATCTCGCTACTGACGATACTTTGAGACAGGATCATGCAGCAGGCTGTGGATTCGAAGGGCGACGGCGTGTTCTACTCGTCCTCTTTGGATTGCTTGTGGAAGACTGTGAAGGTGGAAGGCTTTCGCGGGCTATACAAAGGCTTCGTTCCGGTGTGGATGCGAATAGGACCCCACACCGTTATCACCTTCTTTTGCTTTGAGCAATTGAGAAGAGTTCTTGGAATCAAACCATTGTGAATTGATCAAAGGTATGAAATGCTTTTCATTCATTCTTGTATGGTCGCTTCCTCTTGCTGAAGATTCTCCACTCCCGGCGATAAGTCTCGAAGCTCTCTGGAGAATCCGTGAAAACTCCATCCACTTCCAGCGTGTTTACAAACATGTCATACTCGCGATAAGGATCTTGGTGGTAATCAAACGGGAGGAGGAGGTTGCGCTCGTGATTAAACGTCCAGGGATGAACTTCGAGGCCTCTAGCGTGAGCTTTGTCAACCAGGTCGGTCACTGGTAAGAGTTTATTGTTGGAGTCCACGGGGGCGATAGCTTCTTTAGCTGGTCCGATTCCAACAACGATCTTACTAATGTAATCCAGGTAGTCATCGGAGATTATCTCTTCATACGTCTGGAAAAATGCAGAAATTGTAAGTTTTACGCCAGTAGAAATGTAAGTTCAAAAAAAATAAAAAAAACACTTACCTGTTTAGTATCGGAGGTGATTGAATCTGGAGCGATCAATAAGATTTTCGGGGAGCTTGTTTTGTTGTGAAGATATATCAAAGAGCTCGGATCAAAAGATTGGATAAATACTGGCTTGTGAAGCCACTCCTTTGTGAGATACTTTGCATTGTAGTCATATTTTTTCAAGATGTTAAGAAAAACATCCTCAAATTTTCTTCCCTCGGTCCATTTAACCTGGAAGAAAATAAAACAATAAATAGAAAACCTTTAATCAAGAGAGGACTTACGTGGTGATTGATAAACGTTGGGCTTTTAATTTCCACGTAGATTCCAACCCTCTCCGACTTCGGTGAAACCAAGGCAATAGCTATGAATTCCTCGAAAGTTGGTATTTGAAGTTTACCTGGAGCAGCATTTCATGCGATCAACAAATCTTATACTTTGCAAACTTTGCAAACTACACCATTGTAAGATTGGTCGCGATTAGGATATCGTTGGATCAAGCGAAGCGACTTTAATTCCTCCAGAGTGAAGTCCACTACACAAAAGCAAGTTAATAGACATCGATCACACAAGTTTGTAGAGATTACACACTCACCTGCGAAGTATCCAGTGACATTAACACCATCAACGACATACGTTTGCTTTCGACTCGCAAACTCGGGGTGATCATGCACGTCGGTAACGCTGTCCAAAATCAAGTCATGGAAGCAAATAAGCTTGCCATCCTTAGTTGCTGTTATATCAGCCTCAATAAAATCGGCCCCCTCTTCAATGGCACGCTAAAACAAACACCAACTTAGAACAATCAAAGCTGCAAAAGAGTAGAACACACTTACCTTGTATGCAAGAACGGATTCTTCCGGAAACTCCCCGCTAGAACCTCGGTGAGCGATGTTATATGGTTCATTCGTTTGAAAAGGGAATCGAAAAACACGGCAATCAGAACCCGCGAGTAGTAGTAGCAGCAATAGAGAAACGTAAAACATCGTAGAACCCATGACGCTCTAGAATCGTTCTCTAAGGTTTTGGCCTCTTATAAAATCCCAGTCTCCATATTCGGTTTGCCCTAATATGGGCACTCTGTTTTTAGGGTTTACAAAATGTTTAGGGCTAGGCAAGGGCAAAGGTGTTGGTGACACGTGGAGCAAACGCGTGCATACGCGGAGCGCAAGCCACGTGTAATGCTCACTTCTTACAATATAGTTTTGCCCTTGGCATTGCGATTGATCGATTTCTTTTGAAGTGGTGCTTTTTAGGCGAGAAGAAACGCGAGAGGAAGATAGAAGCTATGGCGACTCAGCAGCAGCAACAGCAGCCTCCCAGCTACGATCAAGCTCAATCGCGTGGCGGCAGCGATCCGTATGTGTCGTATCCACAGGTCTATCCCGGCAATGGCGAGAAAGCGAAGCAATCCACGCAGTGGGAGGAGGCGCCGGTGATGGGCACTCCAGCGAACCCTAGCGCTCATCCGGGTAATCAGCAAGCAGCCATGTCCCAGCGCCCCGAATTGAAGGAAGGGAAGGGATTTGACGAGCCCGGAGTGGCGGGAAGCTATGTCTCGCCACAGGTCGGCGGAGGAGGAGGAGATCCCAATAGAGCCGGTGGCGGTGCTGGAAGTCCCTACGTCCAGACAGCATCCATCCCATCCACTCCAGGAAAGAGTAAGCGATCTCTCATAGTTTGATCTCTTCCTTTTTTGTTGGATCGATCGAGCCTTGTGATCGCAGGTCCCATGGAGTCTATCCTCGAGATCTTGAACAAATGGGGAAAGAAGGCCGAGGGCATGGCCGAGAACGTATGGAATCACTGTAAGTTCTTCCAGAGTCTAAAGTTCACAGCGATCTTGGAGTTCCTTCTGGTGGATCTTCCATGAGCCTCAAAGCTTACTTGCCAGTGAAGAAACTCACACTTCTTAATCTTTTGCAACAGTGAAGGCCGGTCCTTCAATGACGGATACCGCGTGGGGGAAGCTCAGCCATGGCACCAAGGTCTTCACGGAAGGGGGATACGAGAACGTCTTCAAGCAAACTTTCGGTACCGAGGAGAACGAACGCCTCCGAAAGTCGTACGCGTGCTATCTCTCCACGTCTACGGGGCCGGTGCCGGGAGTTCTCTACATCTCCAACCGTAGAATCGCGTTTTCCAGCGATCGACCGCTCACGTATTATCCCTCGCCGGGACAGCAAGCCATGAGCTACTACAAGGTAAAGTCTCTTCCTTCGTTTCGAGTTTCTTGGTTCCTTCGCGTGTTTCTTCCTTTGTTTCGAGTTTCTTATTTCACCCTGGCTTGTTTCTTCCTCTGTTTGGGGTTTCCTTCGCGCATTTCCTCCTTTCAAGTTTCTTAGTTTTCCATGGCAGTGTTTTACTCTTAAATCTTCCATTTTCCCTGGTTTTCTTTCGTTTAGATCTTTCATTTCTTATCTCTGTCCATTTTGCAGCTGGTGATGCCTCTGGACAAGCTGAGGAGTGTCAATCCCTCGACCAATCCACAGAAACCCATGGAGAAGTATATCCAGCTCTCCACCGTTGACAACCATGAGTTTTGGTTCATGGGGTTTGTCAACTACGACAAAGGTGTGAAGAACTTGCAGCTGGCGTTGAACAATCCGAATGGGTCTTGGGATTCTTCCCCTAGACCACAGTACAACGCTTGAAAGCGTCTACCATTTGTATAAATCTGTATGTGATGTGAAATCTTTTAAAGCTTTGTGTGGACTGAACAAACCAAATTGCCAAAGTGTGTGAGAATCTAAGCAGGGAAAAACATACCTTGTGTTTTTCGGATAATTCGGTTTAACAATACCTTCGGAATGATCATTCGATTTGGCACCATTATGTTCCACGCATTTGGAACTTCCCCCGGATGATATAAACATGCCGCAGGCATGAGCATCGCAACAATATAAAAATCAGCAGAAAAGTGCTTGAAATCTAACCTCAGGGGCGTCTATTTCGCTTTCTTGTATACCTTGTTTTCGTAAAACAATGCTACGGGTTAGTAATCGAAGCTCAAGAAAAATGCGATCTTTGCTCACCGCTACGCGTCTCAAATGGCTCCTCCGCACAGATATCTAGGTGCTTCAAAGCAATGTACGTTCTCGGAGACTCCCTGGACGACACTGGGAACTTTGCATCCACGATCCCGGGCACGCCACCCAGTCCGTATGGTGTCACGAATCCCGGGTGTCCCACAGGCCGATTCACCAACGGTGGCGTACTGGTGGATTTCATAGGTAAGTAGCACACCGATCTAGAGCAAAGAAAACAAAATGTCAGTGCCAAATGAACGCTGCAGCACAAGAGCTTGGATTAAAACCAACAATTCCTTATCATGGCTGTTCTTGCGGGACGAACTTTGCCTTCGTTGGAAGAACGGTGTTAGGCCTGGATTACTTCCACCAAAGGGGGGTACCCACTCTCGTGCCAGGATCGTTTGACAATGAAACTGCGTGGTTCGATTCTTACAGAAAAAACTGCTCTGGTATAGAGCTTGAGAAGAGCTTGGTCGTTGTCGGGGGCGGTGGGAATGACTACAATCGTCTCATAAGGACGAACTCTGCAACAATAGACGAAATCATCCACCACTGGGTTGATCCAGTGGTGAACAAGTTAGTCCAAGTTATAGAGGTAAATAGAACTCACTCTTTCAAGATCATATGTTCTGTCTTTCAAAAATGAGAACATGAGACCTATGGTGAATTGGCTAAAAACCACAAGAAAGAAAACAAAAAACATGTTTGTCAATAAATGATAGATGTTAGCATAAAGGATTAGAAGTACCTCATTCAACCAGAATACCGTGAAAAGTGGTGCTAAGCTGGAGAAAGCGCTGTTTAAATCGGAGGCGATTACCAAAGGAGCTACCGTCTTCATAGCCGACCGCTATAAGTTCCTGTATGACGTGCTTCGAGAGCCAGGAAAATATGGTGAGACCGTCTACTTTCAAGTTGTTTTGATTGCATTGTATGTACGCAGGATTTGAGAAAACTCACGAGGCTTGCTACGGTGGTGGTGGCCAACATAATGCCATTGTCGGGTGTGGTGACTCTAGATTTACTCTCTGCAGCAACGTCAGTCAGTATCTTTTCTTCGATCAATTTCACTTCAATTTCACGGAGAGTTTCAATAGGCAGGAAGCAATGGCACTCGTCCATGAAAAAGAATACCTTGTTTCAAATCGTGGATCTCGATTATCTCTGGATGACTTATGTCGATAATAGTCGTGATTCGTGCATTTGTGTAATGGAATCGCTGCACATAGTTCTAATTCGAAGTGCTTCGTCCAACATGCCAGCAGTAACATATATGTTAGCCATCGTCACATAAATCGAAGCACCGACATTACCAAGCTTCAACATGGACTCGAAGGCAAGCTGTCCGACTTCCACATTCTTCCACCGTTGAGAAGCATCCAGCAAACACGTCCATATTACATGATTTGGTTCGAATGGCATGCTCCTCACCAATGCCACTGCATCATTCAACTGATTAGTACGACCGTAGAGATCAACCATGCACGAGTAGTGCTGGATGCATGGAGAAACCCCATACTCCGAGCTCATGACTGTGAAGAAATACTTCCCTTTGTCGATAAGTCCGGCATGGCTGCAAGCGCTCAGAATCGAGAGGAAGATCACGTCGTCCGGCTGCAACCGCAGCTTCTTCATCCTCTCGAACAAATCAAGCACGCTGTCGGTGTCTCCTTGAGAGCTGTAACCTGCCATCATCGCACTCCAGGCAACTAAGTTCTTGTGGTTGCTAGGAACCGAAAAGAATACCTGCTCAGCTTCGACCATGTTCCCGCACTTGCCGAAAAAATCGATGAGACAAGTCCAGACGAAGGTGTTCCTGTCCAATCCAGCTCGCTGAAGCTCCTTATAAATCTCTCTTCCTTTCTCTAACGCTCCCAAGCTTGCGCAGGCCTTAAGAGCAGCCACGAATGTCACCGCGTCCGCTACAAACCCGTCTCCTCTCATGCGTGTAAAAAGTCGTAGAGCCTGCTCGCTTTCCCCGACCTGGACGTAGCTCTGAATAATCGCTGTCCACGAGACCGAATCACGATCCGTCATGCCGTCAAAAACACGTCGTGCTTCCTCCACACTCCCACACTTCGCGTACATGTCGACGAGAGCATTTGACACGAAGAGGTCCCGTCCGAGACCATCTGCGGCAGCTTGCGAGTGAATACCTCTACCAATCTCGAGCCACTTCCTCTTGAGCACCTTGTCCTCGGACTCTCGCCCATGAACCGGCTTGCTACTGTCACCACCATCACCACTTGCTCTCTCGGCCAAGCTCACGCAAGCCTTGAGCGCAGCTAGATAAGTCACGGCATTTGGCACGTATCCGTCACCTCGCATTCTCGAGTATAAATCCAAACTGAGCTCGCCTTGCCCGCACCGTGCGTAGCCCAGAATCAACGAGCTCCACGAAACCACGCTTGGTTTCCTCAAAGCGTCGAACACCCGCCTTGCATCCTCCATACTTCCACACTTCGAGTACATGTCCACCAAGGCGTTTCCCACGAATTTTTCCAGCTCGTAGCCACCTTTTAGTGCTTGACCATGCACTTGTTTGCCTCTTCTTAGACAACCACCGAGAGAACTCCTCCACTGCTCACTTGATTCTCCCAAAGAAGCGCAAGCTTTTAACGCTGCGAGAACCGTGACCCGGTCGGGATCGCAGCCTTCTTCTTGCATGGCAGCGTAGAACTCCAGCGCCAAGTCTGCTTGCCCGGTCTCGGCAAATCCCAAGATCACCGCAGTCCAAGAGACTGCATTCCTGGAATCCATGCTCTCGAAGACGAGCTGGGCGTCCACCAAGCTCCCACACTTGGCGTAAGAATCCGTCAAAGAACTGGCCAGAAATATTTCTGAGAGTTCCCCGAATCTGGCAGCCCGAGCGTGGATGTCCCGGATTCTAGCCAAGAATCTAGCTCTGGAGTCGACACCACGGCCCCTGGATCGCTCGATCAAGCTCGAGCAAGCCTTGAGCGCCGCAAGAAATGTGACATGATCCGGACGGCACGACAAATCACTGCCTCCCCCTTCCTGGAAAAACCGATCGAAATATCCCAGCGCGGCATCACCATCGCCATTGAGCGCCAGTCCCTGGATGATGCAGTTCCAAGAAACCACGTCGCGCTGCCGGATGCTCTCGAAGACGCCGCGAGCCTCCATCCCGCTGCCGCATTTCGCGTACATATCGATCAGCGAGCTCGCGATGGCCGGGTGCGCGTCCAAATCCCCGTTCTTGGCCGCGTCCCTGTGGATCATCCTACCTGATTCCAGGTCCCTGGAGCGCTTGCATGCCTTGATCGCTGCCAGGACGGCTCCCACGCCGGGATTCACTCCCTGATCGCGAGCGCTGTGACAGACCGCGATAGATTTCTCCATCCCGGATCCATAAACCCTAAAATGCGCCACTCGGTATATCCTCCATCCAGTTGAAAGAAGGTATATCCAGTTTTATAAGGTTTAGACGAGGGTTATTTGATCAGCTCGTGGAAATTTTGACGCATCGAGGAGCGCCATGGTCTCCAGAGTAAGCCATCGATCCCAAATTTCGATTCCAGGCTAGATTTCTCTCCAAATCTCTTCCATCACTGGTGATCTGAGGGTTTTTGCTTCAATTTTCCAGCAGCGCAGCGCCGGCATCCCCTCTAGCCCTAATTCGCCAGCTCCGGAGCAGCCATTTCTATCCATCTCTGTCACCGATCCGGTGAAGCTCGGTAACAATGTACAAGCCTACATTTCTTATCGGGTCAGCACCAAGGTGTGTGAGTTTTAAGCTTGTTATGTGTTCTTCCCGGAGAGCTTTTCATCTTTTTCTTTCTTTTTTCCTTTCAGACTAACATGCAAGAGTATCGGGGCTTGGAGAAGATTGTCATTCGTAGATACAGCGATTTTGTGTGGCTACACGAGCGATTAACTGAGAGATACAAGGGCATTATCATTCCTCCGCTTCCAGAGAAAAGTGCAGTAGGTGAGTGAGCAAGAAAGTATTTTTCTTTTGCTCTTTCTTGCTTACACTTTGTTTGACTGTGCAGAGAAGTTTCGATTTAGCGCCGAGTTTATCGAGGTCAGACGAAGAGCTCTAGACGTGTTTCTGAATCGGATTGCTGCACATCCGATTCTTCGTCAAAGTGACGACTTGAAAAGCTTTCTGCAAGCCGATGAAGACAGTTGGGTTAGTGAGTTTGCTAGATTTCTATGCAGTGCAGTAATTCTATGTTCCAGGTTGTTGAGAAATCAAGAACAGCTGAGGGGGTTTTCAAAAAGAAACCCAGCGATTTCATGCAAATATTCAAGGTAGAGCTGCCAAGTTCTGGTTTTACATGCCGTCCTCATTGTTATGGTTTCAACAGGATGTACAATCCAAAGTCACGGACGTTGTGTTGGGTAAAGAAAAACCCCTGGAAGAGACGAGCGAGGAGTATGAAAAGGTCAAGCACTATGTCACAGAACTTGAAGATCATCTTGGCGAGGCACAGAAGCAGTCGTATCGTCTGGTGAAGCGTCATAGCGGTCGGCAATTTTATTTTCATCGTGATATCCTCTCTTAACTTACTTTCACTTTAGAGTTGGGACAAGCCTTGGCTGAGTTTGGCAAATCGGTGAAGTCCCTTGGAGGCTGTGAAACGGGACTTCTTGGCAAAGCCTTCGGAGAACTTGGCAACCGTGCGGAGTTACTTTCCTACAAGCTACAAAAACAGGTATTCTGCTTTCCATATCTCCTTGTGAAATGCTTATCGGTCATTTCATCCAGGCGCAAGATCTGCTCATGAACTTTGAGGAGCCGCTCAAAGAGTACGTCCGAACCGTCCAGTCCATCAAGGTAAGCTAACGTCTTTTCTAAAAAAGAATGCTAAATGGGTGTTTCTTGTGTAGGCGGTGCTGAGTGATAGAGCGCAAGCCTTCAGGCAACAACGTGAGCTCTTTGAAGCATCAAAGCTGAAAGAGATCAACCTGTAAGTGAGCCATGCTCTGTATTTCCAGTCAACTTATCCAGCTTCCTCGTCTTCTCAGGGAAAAGCTAAGAGTAGTGCGGCCTGACAAAGTAGGGGAGGCCGAGATCGACTACAGAGAGGTATGTTCGCATCGATCGTTGTTGTCTTGCACGAATGACACTTTGCTTCACAGACGAAACTTCAAAGTGACGAAGCAAACAAGCGCTACGAAGAGATCGTCAAGGTGATGCAGCAGGAAATGGTGAGGTTCCAGGAAGAAAAGACTCGAGACTTGGGTGCCGTCTTTCACGAGTTTGCTCGCGGCCAGGCCCAGCTAGCCAACGACACAGCCGAGGCTTGGAAGGTTTTGGCATCGCAACTGGACGCCTGGTCGCATCAAAGCGCTGGAAAGGCCGTGGAGTCCTCCGCTTGAGACGAACAACGCACTCTCGTATTGTAAAAATTTACAGGCGAAGAGAATATCATCCTTCCAGGTGTGCTAGAATGCTTCTTCTTTCCTGTTGTTATTTTCGCTCGCTAGCCATGTACGTAAGAGCCAAGCGCGCTCGTCACGAGAGAGCGTGCCAGCCACAGCAATCCAGGATCATTGGTCTTGAGCACAAAGCTTGACATCGCTGCTTCTTCGGCAAATCCAACCATTTTAAGCAGCTCAATCGCTCCTGTAAAAACAAAAATAAGGACACTCGAAGACTACACAAGCTTTAGACTGATTACCAGCAAACTTTGCAACACGCTCCTGGAAGACGGGATTGTTCTGCCATGGAACAACATACGTTAGCAACAAAAACGAAGAAAGTATCGCTTTCATTCACTCGCCTTCTTTATACGCCGAAACTTCTCCTCGTTTGGATGCTCCATGACGTTACTGAACAAGCAAGAGCACAGTGAGGAAACAAATGAGAAACCAAAGCTAAACCTCACCTTAAGATTTTCACAAGAGTTTGGAAAGCCATGGCCGCTTCCAAGGGAGTAGCCTGACGAGTAAGCATCGCGATCGAGTCCTCGAGCCGGGAACTAGCAGCAGCTGCTGCGGCATTGATTCGTTTGATCTCCATGTCCAGTTCTCCCATCTCCATCACTTCCACGTCTTTCTGAAACGGACTTCCATGCCTGAGACCATCGTCTGGATCCGGTTCTTTGGGATCTTCTGGAAGTTTAGTTCTTTTATTGTCTCCTGGATCATTGTCGTCTGGATCTGGTTCTCTGTAATCTTTTAGAGTTTCCTTCTCGTCCGGGTCTGGTTCCCCGTGATGTTCGTTCTCATCTGGATCTGGTTCTCTGTAATCTTTTAGAGTTTCCTTCTCGTCCGGGTCTGGTTCCCCGTGATGTTCGTTCTCATCTGGATCTGGTTCTCTGTAATCTTTTAGAGTTTCCTTCTCGTCCGGGTCTGGTTCCCCGTGATGTTTGTTCTCATCTGGATCTGGTTCTCTGTGACTTTCCTTCTCATCCGGGTCTGGTTCCCAGGTTTCTGGTCTATATGCGTGCAGTTCGTCTGGATCTGGTTCACTCTCGTAAGCTTGAGTTTCATCGGGATCCGGTTCACCATCTTTCTGTTCAGGAATTTCTTTGTTATAAGTTTCTTGATCGTCAGGATCTGGTTCTTCGCTTACTTTATCATCTGGTTTTGAGCTTTCGGCATTTTCTTTCAGTCTGTTCAATGCTGCGTTGGCTGCTGCTACCTTGACATTCAAAACGGAAGATGAACCTCCACCGAGGCGGTGGCCTTTGCGCAAGACCTCTGAATCATCCTCAATACTATCTGGAACTTGGTGTTTCATGCCGCTTAGACTTTGGCCTCGCGATCTTGTCCAGTCAAGCTCAAGCGACTCTTTGTTAAGCTGAAACAAAAAGGATAAGCAAAGAGATTGAACCAAAAGAAGAAATGCTTACCAGTTTGTCCAGTTGATGGAAATTCTCGTCGTGTTCATCATGTACCATATGCGCCTGAACATAGAACACAGAAGGGTGTTTGTCGGTTGCCTATCACAGAAGATCAAGTTTATCTCTATCTCACCAGTTCATGAAGTAAAGTCTTTCTTATGGATTCATACTTCCGAAAACCCTTCAAGTCATCTGTTCGAAGACGTAGAGAGATCTCTTCTCCGCGATTCTGCAAAACTATGGAGCTCAACAAGAGCTTCATCCATGCTTTCGAATTTACCTTGTTGAATCCGAGAAGACACTTGGGACTGATTCCGACCAATCCCTCGGGTGCCATTTCACTCAAAACTCCCACTCGCCATCGATACTGAAAACAAAGAAAAGATCAATCCTTCCGAAGGCATAGAAAAATGCACCTTGTTCATTATGGCGATGATGCCTCTGTCACTAGCCAAGGCATGCAAGAGCTCGAGAGCTTTCGGAGGTGGTGGAGTCATCTACGAACATCAGCACAAAAATTCAGCGACAATCCATCAAAAACAAAGTACCTGTACGCCAGGAAGTTGAAGAGTTTTAAAGTCTTGAAACGTATAGGGGCCGGCAGGGAGTTTTCCCGTAGCAGAAGCCGAGGAAGCTCGTCGCCGAGCTCGTTCCTCCTCTTCCTCAAATCCAAGGCTTCTAGTGTCCTTCTGTAAAGCTCCCGAGACTTCCACCGTCTCGTGAGGGAGTGCTCCCATCACACGTAAAACCTTTCCCTGGAAAGCGAACAATAGAAACTTTGTAAGCATGGAGGAAGCGAGCGAACGAAAGAAAAAAAAGAGAAACCTCTTCGATCCCACACTCTCCAAGAGAGAGCATGGCGCATTCCTCGCTGAAGGGCTCCAGCGCTCCACGGGCACCTCGAGGAACCAGCAGCTTCATCGTCTGCGGGGAAATCCCAGTAGCCGACTGTAGCTCCTGCCCCAATTCCCGCAGCGTCGAGCTCGCCGTGATCGCCAGCACGAATTCCTTTCCTCGGTACGTGAACCTCAAGCGCTGCTGTCGCGGCACCGCCTCTCGATCCACCTCCATCTCCATCGCCACACCTGAAAAAAACAGTAAACTCCGCTCTACAAAGACCCAAACAAAACACGAACCTTACCTTATGCTGGGCCGTCGGATGCGCTTCTCGCATCGCCCGCCACGTGTATCGAATCGCCACCGTCGCGCTCGGACGAATATGCCAGATTTGAAAGTATAACGTGGGCCGCCGCGTTGCCAGGATCTAGCTCGAGAACTTTCACCGCCGCCCTCTTCCCCGCCTCTTCGTCGCCACGGACCTTGCTAGCGCCCAGGAGCGTGATCCAAAGCACGGAACTCCCGGAGAAATCCGAGCTCGCGACGAGCATCTCGGCCTCCTGGAGCTGCCCGGCCCGGCCGAGGAGATCAATCGCGCAGCCGTAGAGCTCCAGCGAGCGCCACTGGACCCCAAAGTCACTGGCGGTAGAGGCGAAGATCTGGAGGCCGCGATGGAGGAGCCCGGCGTGGCTGCAAGCCGAGAGGACGCTCACGAGCGTGACTTCGTCCGGAGAGCCGCCGCCGTCGAGGAGCATGGCTTCGAAGAGGCCGAGAGCTCGAGCAGAGTGGCCGTGACGAGCGAACGCCGCCACCATCGTCGTCCAGAGAACCGTGTCCTTGTTCTTCCTAAGTTTGTGAAAGAACTCGCTGGCGTCGTCCAGGCTTCCACACCTCGCGAGCATGTCCACCATCGCCGCCTGGACGAATCCATCCTCTTCCACGAGTGATTCCGGGATAGAAGAGATCACAAGCTTACCGTCGGCAAGGCTCCGGCACGAGTTGAGCGCCAGGATGATCGTGGAAACACTCGGCTGGATCATCTGCTCCAGCTTCACCATCCGGTGGAAGAGCTCCAGCGCCGCTCGCGGCTTTCCCTGCGCAGCGTAAGCTCCCATCATCGCATTCCACGAGCTCTCGATCTTCCGCGGGAGTGCCTCGAAGATCTCCACGGCTTGTGCCAGTCCTCCACACCTTCCATACGCAGTGATGAGCGTGTTCTTCACCTCGCTATCCTGCTCGAATCCACTCTCTCTCACGCAAGAGTGGACGAGCTTCGCTTCCCCGACGCTGCCACAAAGTCCGAGCACGGTGAGAAGCGTCACTCTGCTCGGTGCCATACCTTCTTGCTGCATTCTCTGGAAGAATCCCATGGCGGCCTCCGGGGAAGAGTGATCGTTGAGAGATGCAATCATGGTGTTCCAAGTTACGTTGTCTCGAGCTGGCAAGGCCTCGAAGATCTCCAACGCCGCGTCCAGCTTCCCGCAGCGTCCATAGAAAGTGATGAGCGCAGTGTCGAGCATCAAGTCGGACGCAAACCCGGAGCTGGCGATCTGCTGGTGGATCCGGCTGCCTTGCTCCAGATCTTTCAAGCTCGCACAGACATCGATGACGGTGTTGAGCGTGAGCCTGTCCGGTTTCACGCCTTCGAGCATCATCTCGCGGTACAAAACCAGCGCTTGCTCCTGCCGGGAGCAGCGAGAGTACGCCGCGAGCAGGCAGTTCCACGACGAGACGTCGCGAGCTTCGATTTGCGAGAACACTTCCTGCGCTTGCTGGGGGTCTCCCCACCTAGCGTACATGTTCACGAGGCTCGTTCCAACGCCGACGTCCGACTCGAGTCCCCTCTCTCGGATCAAACCGTGAAGAACTCCTCCAACTTGGCGAGCTTCCGGATGATCCTTGCAAGCTCGCAAGACGGCCATGAAAGTCATCTTGCTCGGCCTGTCACCCTCAAGATCCATCCTCTTGAGCAGCTCGAATGCCCGATCGAGCTTGCCGAAGTGAGACAGAGAAGCGATCATCACTGTCCAGAGCTCCACGTCCCGAGATTCGATCTTCTCCATCACCTTCCAGGCCTCGTCCAAGCTCCCACACTTCCCATACATCTTGATCAGCGAAGTAGCCAGCGATGGCGCTATGGACTCCTGGAATCCAGCCTCCTCCAAGAGCCTGTGGAGTTTCTTCCCTTGATCCAAAGAAGCCGGCCTCGAGCAAGCGTGAAGAAGCGCGATAAACGTACCCTCGCTTGGCCGGACGCCTTCCAGGAGAGATTTCTTGAAGAGCAGCAGTGCCTCGTTGATCCAGCCCCTCCTCACGTACGCGGAGATCATCACTGTCCAGCACTCTCCATTCCTCTCCACCGCCATGGAATCGAAGAGCTTGCGAGCGCTTTCGATGCTTCCACACCTCACATACATCCCCAGCAGCGCCACTCCAACTCTCTTCCTCTTCGATTCCACCAGGTTGAGGCAGCTCGCGACGCAGTGGATTCTCTCCCCGGCCTCGAGCATTCTGGGAGAGGAGAGGCGATTGAGAGCGGCCACGATCAAGCTCTCGCTCGGCACACTCTCTTCCTCCTCCAGGCACGTCTCCTCGATCATCCTCACGGCTTCCTCGCATCGACCTTGCTCCAAGTACTTTAGGATCAAGGAGTTCCATGGAACCCACCTCTCGACGCCATCCTTCTTGGAAGCCCCGATAGCATCCTTCGATCGCTCCTCCTGGACGAAATCGGGGATTTGTCCTCGACAGATTCCACTCGCCCTGGAAGGAAATCGTCCAAGAACATCGATATTTCCACTGCTGCCACGATTTTCTTCCTTGTGAACTCTACCGAAAAAATGCCTCCCACAGCTATGATCTATCATCACTGGGCACCTTCCATTTTAGGGTTCTTCGCTCCAACGAAAGGGTTTAAAGGGTTTAAGACACAAATGTTTTAGGGTTCTTCATGCTCGCCCTGGGCAGCCGATTTCTTCGTCCCGGTCTTCGTTTACAGCGCGGATCTAGTCCTCAGCATCGGCATTGCATTGCGACTGCGGTGAGTTTGAGATACGGCTCGATCGCTTTCGATTGATCGCGTCTCTCTGATAGGCGAGCATGGTTTCCAAGCCATTTGTGTGGACTCCAAATTTTATTCCAGTCGAACACGACGACAATTCAGAGTTTCCAGAGAGTAAGAAGAGAGAACGAAGAAAACGATCGCATTGTCACGAATTTTTATTTTTACAGCTGGAAGCTTTCGAGTGGTTTCATACAACATTCTTGCACAAGTAGTGATTTAAATCTTTTTTCCTAGCTTTGATCGATCAAAACGTTTTGTGTTCTTGTTCTTTTGCAGGTCTATGTGAAGAGTTCGCTGTTCCCTCATTCGCCATCCTTGTGTTTGAAGTAAGTTCCTCATCATTTTTTTGTCAAGTTTTTGCATCGCCGAGCATTTCTTTCGAAGGTGGAAGACGCGCTCGGAGCAAGTTCTATCGCGTCTTTTGTCCCTGGACGCTGATCTCCTTTGTCTCCAGGTTTGCGTTCGGTTATTCTATAAGCTCAAAGCCTCCCTCTTCGTTTTCTTTGCAGGAGCTAGACGAATTTGAGAGCTTCTACAAGCCTCTCCTTGAAAGCAGAGGCTACTCTAGCATCTACGTACAGAGAAGTGGCAAGAAACGCGATGGCTGCGGCATCATCTACAAGGCCAAATGGTTAGCCTCGGATTGATTTTGCGAGGTTTGTTTGATATTTCATTCTACTCAGGTGCCAGTTGCTAAAACAACAGTTTCTCGACTATAACGACATCGCGCCTGATGAAACCACAGCCGGAAGAACGTCGGAATCCGTCGGTATATATCCACACACGCCGATGTATTGTCTCTGATTTCTCAGTTCCAGAGGAAGAGAACGACAGAGATGTGAGCGATCCACGCGTGCGCTTTCGAAGGAACTGTGTTGGAATTTTTTCGGCCTTTCGCTTCCATCACGCGCCTAGTAACATCGTTGTGATTGCAAACACGCACCTATACTGGTAAGATAGTTCTGCCGAGTTCTTTATATCCTTTTTCTTTCCCAGGGATCCAGCGCTGCAAGACGTGAAACTCGCACAAGCCAAGTACCTGCTTGCAAAGCTCTTGCAGTTCGAGAAGGAGATATCTCAAGAATTCAACTCCAATCCTGTCGTTCTAGTCGCAGGGGATTTCAACTCCACTCCGGGTGATCGGGTAAAGTATTTAAGCTTGGAAAATGGAACAAACTTCTATGCCGTCTTCTCTCTTCTCAGGTGTACAACTATATTACCTCCGGGCGTCGCAACTCCGGCCCCGACATCGAGCTCTCGAGTTTCAAGGTGCCCGACTTGGAGAGCTTGAAAGTCCCAGCGATCCCACTCGACAGCTTGTACGCCGCTGCACAAGGCGAGCCAGCGTTCACGAACTGCACCCCAGACTTCACAGGAACTCTGGACTACATCTTCTTCAGTCCCTCGGCGTCCATGAGACCAAAGACGATCTTAGAGGTGCCTCGGCCGGATGCTCCAGACGTCAAGGGAGGCCTCCCAAACCATTTCCACCCCAGCGATCATCTTCCCATAGGAGCGGACTTCAGCCTCTCGTGAAGAAGCAGCTCGTCCAGCGAACCAAAGCTTATCTTCGCTCCTTGAAGAACGGGTGTCTTAGAGCTTCTTTCGCTGTCAGCCGATCGGAGGCTCCATATCTAAGGAGACCCTCGAGCAAGTCTGTCAAGGAACTGGCAGAGTGCTCGACATGCAGTTGAACAAGCTCCTATTGAGGGAAAAACACAGACATGAACGGGAACGAGTTTTTATTTTTCAATGTGTACACTACCTTGAGCCGTGGTAACCTTTTCACTGTCCGGATACTCTCGAGAGAAGAGGCTGCATCGGGCCAGTTTAGTTCCCTCCCGTTTTTGAAGTACTTCTGAGCTTTTCTACTGCACAAAGCACCGTGGGATGAGCCACAAGGTTTATAGATCCAGTACAAATCTGACTTACTCTACGTTATCGATTATGCGTCTGGAAATGGGACCGAGAATTCTTTCCATCATTGCCAGGTGCTCGAGATTTTCGTGAGTCTGAAACAGTGGATCTCCCTGGAAGCAGCCAAGAAATATGAGATTAATGGACTTCGCAGTTTTCTTACCGAGAAAAGCTCCACTAAGATGCAACCAACGCTCCACAAATCACACGCGTACGACCATCCAAGGCCTAGAAAATAATTTTGTCAAGATAACACTTAAGCAAAAGAAACACCCAACGTACCCAGGATGATCTCGGGTGCTCTATATTGCCTTGTAGACACTATGGACGAGTGGTGCTGGTTTTCAAACGTCGCACTCCCAAAATCTATCAGCCTTATTTCAGCTGATGTCGGTGTCCTGGTTAAGTGTTTATCCGGTCGAGCAGACTGTAACGGAAAAAGTGTTAATAATACTAGAAACGATCTAACAAAATGCGCTACCTTGTAGTCGAGTGTCTTCACGTATGCCGAAGAGACCAGCAGTATATTCTCCGGTTTTAAATCAGTATGAATCAAAGATAGCTCATGTAAGTCTATTAAAACAGGAAGCAAACAACAGTGCATCAATAACACGGGAGCTATAAACGAAAACATCAAACGCGGCATACATGCTACAGAATTCAAAAGCTGCCAGCCAATATCACGGACATGTTCTATCGAGAATGGCCGGTAGCTATTCTTTTTCAGGAAATCGTACAGGCTCGGTCCAAGCTTTTCCGACACCTAAGTTCGCCAGTAAGTTTAGATGATGGTAGGAAAAAAAAACAAAATCGAGAAACTTACGATGCAGACGTGATTCCGGTAATCGAACCACTCTTTCATCTGAAGACAGCCACTGCAAACGAAGGCTTTAAGAACTTTATGATGCTTAGTTGCGAGCTTTACCGTTTGCCATTCTTGTCATGCTTTCGAAGTGCTCTTAGAACGTCGATTTCAATCAGAGCGGCTTCTCTGTATTTTGGGACGTTTCTTATAACTTTAACGGCCACAAACTCCTGATACTTCCGGTCCCAGCATTCCAAAACGCGACCAAAAGTACCTGCATTTACTCTGGTAAACAACGAGAAAGGAAACTAAACTATAAGCACCTTCACCCATCTTGCTGATGACTTTGTCTGCGACACACAAAAAAAAAAAGCTCGCATTAGAATGCGGGGCAACAAACAAGACAAGCAAAAGGATCACGCAGCTAAAGGCTCGACCCAAGGAAAAAAAAAATAGCGTAAAAGAAACGTAAAAAACGCAAGAAAAAAAAAATTACAGCGAGGTGTAATGTTCTCTCCCAGCTCAAAAACGTAGTGACCATCCTTGTCATCTTCACGCCAGGGAGGCGAAGCAGCAAGAGTATCGCTATGGAACCCGTTATAGTTAGCTCTCTGCTCCTTGTGGTGCCGACTAACATATGATGAGGGCTGGGCCTCCTACACACACAAAAAGAAAAAAAATTGCCAAATTCCCCCAAGTGTTATGTCTGGACGTTTTAGAATGCTAGATGCACTAATTCCCGCGGCGGACTCTAGAAATCTCACTATCCCTTTGCAGATCTTTGGCCAGCGAAGAATCACTAACCTCATCGCGGTAGGCGGAGCGCGGCCGCTTCCCTCGCCGCTCCATTCACAGGCTCTTTAGGGTTCTTCGGTGTTTTTAGACCTAAATAGTCGCCGCATCTTTTTTTCTTTTTTTATAAAAGCACCATTTGGGCTTAATAAAGTGGGGATGAGCCCAGGTTGGAGACTGGCCCTTGGAACCAGTATCGGGCGCTGAGGAGCCAGTAAGTCATGGTAAATGTGAAAACTCCCCCCACAGCGACGGGCGTGTAATTGAAGGATTTACTGGTGACGGGGTAGACGATAGGGAGGCAGAAGAGCACGGTGATGAGGGCCACCCACACCACGGAGATCCAGCCCGTCACCAGGCCAAGGAATTTACCCAGGTGAAAGGGGCCCGGTACAAAAGAATTACGGGCAATAGTTACCCGGAAGAGGATGGGCAGTGCGTAGGAGATGCACGATCCAATGGTGGCGATTGAGACCATCGCTTGGAATGCCACGGAGCTTCCCAAGTACTGCGTGTGTAGAAAACTTGTAAGTTAAACAGATAAGTTTTACTTACTGGAAGAGCCATGCAAAACGAGACCACGACCGCCAGCCAGACGGCGTTGGATGGAATATCCCGCTTGTTGACTTTGTGCCACAGGCGCGACAGCGGTACGGCTCCATCCCGGGAGAAAGCGTATGCCATCCTGAGATTATTCGGTTAGAATAATCACGGAACAATCATTCCGTACATACGTTACCTGGAGTTGCTTGTCACACAGCTCATGCAGCAGAGGAAGACGGCGACGGCCACGATTGCGAGGCACACGATGCCGCCGCCGCCGCTTCCGTACCGCATCTTAAAGGCATCATAGAACGCCTGGGCCACGGCATATCCCCTCGCATCGTTGTCCAGGCTCAACACATGATCCACGTCTGTGATGATAAATGTGATGCCGAGAAGGTAGATGGCGCCGATCACGACCGAGATTCCCACCGCACTGACGATTCCGTACGCGCCGTTCTTGTCCGCGGACTTGGTCTCCTCAGACTGATAGAAAGCGAGATTATTCCAGAGAGATTCGTGGAATCCCTTTACCATGTGAGCTGATGCGTCGTATCCGATCAGCGAGTACTGGCTCATCAATAAGCCCACGACGAAGACGTAGGGGCTACTCCCGATGCCGCTTCCATTGTCTTTGTAGAAGTACGAAAATACGAACTTGGCACTTCGTTTCTCCGGAGCAACAGCGAGGACCAAAATGGTGATGAGAAAAACTCCTGTGATGTCGCAAAGCAATTAAACACTGATGTGAAACTATCTCCACTTACCAACGCAATTCCATATTACCGCCAGCGTTCCCAAGCGAGAGACCCACTTGATCTCCAAGTTATTAATCAGGCCATGCATGAGCAAGAAAATTCCATGGAATCCAATGACCACGTACTTGGAAGCGTAGTATCCTCCATCTCGCCCTCCGGTGGCGAGCAGAATAATCACTTGGACAAGTATCGCCATTGAGAAATTGGCACTGGTGGTCGTCGCCCACTACTCCAAATTCCACATCCATAATGAACAAAAAAGAAAAACAATGGTGATGATCTTAAGAAATTGATGAAAAATTTCTCATCAGACCTGTCCAAATATGTTGAACCTGGAAAAGTTTTACTCCAGTTTTTCAGGAAGAAAGAAAAAATTAAAAAATCAACTATACCATCCAGTGATCCATGAAGCAAATGGCCCCCATTTGGGGCCGGCAAGGCTATAGCTCCAAAAGTAGAGACCTCCAGAGGTGGGGTACGCTGAGCAAATCTCCGCCATGGAGAGGGCAATGCACATAGTGAAGAAGCTGACGATAATCCAGCCATAGACGATCGAAACAGGGCCTCCGTACGTAAGACCCGTGTTGTACGTAGTCGTGACGCCTGTGAGAATTGAGATGATGGCGAAGGACAATGCGAAGTTTGAGACAACCCTGGTTGCAAGAACACAGATTGGATTGAATCACAATCGTTTCTCCCTGCGAATTTCAGGAATGAAGTATACTTACGAGAGAGATCGCTTGAGCTCCTGTTTGTAGCCCAGCTCCTGGAGCCTCTTTTGCCCGGAGTCCATTGACTTCTCTAGAGATCAATCACGAATCAAGAAATATTTGCGCGCGGCGCGCGTTGCGATAGCTCTTCTACGATTCAACGCGAAAAACATTGAAAATTGAGACACACAGCAAACACGCTTTCTTTCCAGCCATGTATTCTTTTTTCAAAGGCCCGCCACGGTCAAGATCGATCGGACCGCTCAAGAGAAACGAGCACAACGGATCGGACGGTGATCCCACGTTTTGGGAAGCTCCAAATCAAGTAGCATAGAGGTTTGAAAGAAGAGCATATGATTTTGGATCCAATCGCAAGAGATCTCCCGCATTGCGATCGCCGCATCCAACATCTCCCTGGATCCGGCACGCGCCCAGCAGCGTGTTCATCGCCACGTCGCTGGGAAGAAAGGGCATGTTTTGGAGGAGATCCTCCGATTGCTCGAGCATCCCAATTCGGCCCAGGAGATCCACGACGCAGCAGTAGTGATCCAGCGCCGGTTCGATCGAGTGATCCGAGATCATCCAGTGGAAGCACTGGATTGCCGGATCGAGTAGCCCGGCGTGGCTGAAAGCTGCCAGGATCGCCACGAATGTGGGCTGCGATGCTCGAACGCCCTCTTGGAGCATGGATCGAAAGAGGGATAGAATCTCTTGGAAAAGCGAACCCGCCAGGGCATAGGCAGTGATTAAAGTGTTCCATCCAGAGGCATTGTGGAAGGGCATTCTCGTATCAAACAAAAGCTTGGCCGTTTTAATATGCCCACTTTGGGCATACGCAGCAAGAACAGTGTTCCAAGAAAGAGTGTCGTGTTTTGGAAACATTTCAAAGCACCTCTGGACTTTTTCTATATGGTAACTTTGTAATGAAGAAAAAAGTAGAGCGTTCCATGCGACAATATCACGCTGCGGCATCTCGTAGAAGATTCTCTCCGCCTCTTTGATATGCCCTTTCGCGGTATATGCGGTAATAAGAGCCGTCCAAGAGAGAACACTCCATTTGGGCATTCTGTCGAAGAGGGATTTCGAAAAGACTGTAATCACACACTCCCAAGACATGATTTGGCGCTCCGGCATTCTCTCAAACACAAGCTTTGCTTTCGAAAACTCCTCGTTTCGTACGAGACCGTGGAGGAGAATGTTCCATGATACCGAATCCCATCCCGGGGATCTTCCGAATATCTCTAGCGCGAAGTGTACATTGCTTCTCTGAGCATACGCATTGACGATTGAATTCCATGACACCAGGTCACGCTCTTTTCTCAGTGTAAAGACATTCCAGGCATCGTCTAGATGCCCATTCTCGGCATAAGCCACGGCTAGTATATTCCATGACGCCGTGTCCCATCCAGGCATGAAATCGAAGATGCTTTTGGCGGCAAAAGGGTGTCCGCTCTGGGAATATGCCGAAAGAATTGAGTTCCAGGCAATTCCATCTTTATACAGCATTTGATCGAACAAGGTTTTGGCTTCAAATGTACAGGAGTTAGCGGCATAGGCAGAAAGCAGTGTTGTGAGGCAATGGAGACAGTGCTCTGGCATCTTTTGTAATACGATCTTTGCAAATTCCAAGATTCCAGCTTGGATGTATCCTCTGACGAGATAGATCCAGGAATCTTTGTCTCTCTCCAGCATAGAATCAAACGCTCCTTTACCTTGTGACAAGACTCCTGACTGGAAATAACGCAACAACAAAGAATTCCATCCCAGACCATTGTGTTGCGGCATCTTGCCTAGGAAACCTTTGAGCATATTCAAATTGCTGTGCACAGTATAGCAGGATAGTAGAATGTTCCACGAGGATAGAATTCTTACCGGCATCTGATCAAAGAGAATCTTTGCAAGATCCAGATTTCCAGCACGGGCATATGCCATCAGCATGGCATTGAAAGCCAAGGAATCCCATTCTGGCATATTCTCAAAGATCTTAGACGCTTGAAAACAACTCCCACGTCTCGCAGTTCCTGCCAAGAGAGTGTTCCATGTTACGGCATCTTTCTGCGAGGCTTTAAGAAAGATACCACTTGCATCGTCAAGATACCCGCTTTGGGCATATGCCGCTATCATCATGTTTACAGAGTAAGTATTGGGCCCATTGATGGAGTCAAAGACACTGCGGGCATCTTTAGGACTTCCACACTTGCCAAACATTTCAATCATTAAGTTGGCGAGGTATCTATCGTGGCGGTGGTCACTCCTGGATATCCAGTCGTACAGTTTCGTACATTCCGACAAGAGCCGTGAGTCACCGTGGAGCTTTATGCTCCCGGCAAGCTTAGCTTGCATGGACGAATCTCTTCATCATCTAGCAGCATATATGCTGGAAGTGCTCCGGTAATATGCTGGAGAATATGCACGCGTACGGTAAAAGAACGCTCGAGCATCTCAAGATATCCATTCGCATTCGCATATCCATATTTTTGGTACAGAGAACTTGGCCACACTTCCATCGACCATGTAATTCATACAGTGTCTCCAACGACCAGCCCAGAATGTGGTGACCTGGCACGACCGTCGGATGCTCAATCTCCGGAATAGCCAGCGGATGGGGCCATCCAGGCCGCCCGCGGGAGTTATTAAACGTCAAAGGAGAGAGGAGCTTGGCGCATTTCACGGAAGACGCGAAATCTAGGTCTGTTTGATCCATTTTCGTGGTTTTTGGCTCCTCGCTCGCTCGCGGGCATCTTTGGCGCCGCGGCACCGAGATTTCGATCGAGCCAATCCCTCGCCAGCGCTAGGTTTTAGCTAAATCGTCTCTTCCAGGATGCCGACGCTCAACATTAGCACCAATGTGCCGCTCGATGGCGTCTCGACATCGGATATTCTCAAGGACGCTAGCAGGACAGTCGCGCGCGTTCTTGGCAAGCCAGAGAGTGTGAGTTTTTCAATCCCTTTGATTATTCTGCATTTGATTTCGATTTTTATGTAACTTTGGCTCATTGTGCAGTATGTGATGATCATCATAAATGGTGCTGTGCCAATCTCTTTTGGAGGGAGTGAGGAGCCAGCAGCATACGGGGAGCTCGTTTCAATCGGCGCAATCTCTCCCGACTCGAACAAGAAGTTGAGCAAAGCCATAGCCGAGCTCCTCCAGTCCAAGCTCGCAGTGCCCCCGAATCGCTTCTACATCAAATTCTACGATGTCAAGGTTCTAAAAATCTCTCCTCCAAAATCCCAACATTCCCAGAGAAAAATTTCAAGCTAAAGTCCTCCATTTTCTTGCAGGGAAGCAACTTTGGCTGGAATGGATCGACTTTTTAGGCAGAACTTTTTCTTGGTATGCATGCTTCTTTTCAGTTTCACTAGTCTTGGATCGTTTCATCGCTTACGCTTTGATCCTAGATATAAATCTTTGCTCGCTCGTATCGTTGGTAAGAAAATTGCTACAATGGGGGGCGGGGCGATCTTCGTTTTGATCGTTTTAATCTAAAGAACGATTTGATATCTTTAGCTATGATCTTCTAGCCACACACATTGGATCGCCGGACGTATCTCCTCCGGCGCTTGTAAAGCCGTCGGGAGATTCTATCCGGCGTGGTAATAATGTTGTGGGTAACGCGCGTGAAAAGACCGGCGCCGTAAGTCGGGACAGGTGAAAGCGAACGTAAATCGCGCGTACCGCGCGTGTGGAGAGCGATGTTATAATACAAAAATGGGAACCGTAAACTACGAGACGAAGTAAGGCGGCGGCTACGTATAATTATACGATCCGTAGTGAAGCAGGGCTGCCAATACGCCGACGGGCGAGGCTGACGGGAGTGAAGTTTTATTTGAATGCGCGAATGGGGAAGCTAGGGTTTTTGTGTGTTTTGTCTGGGATGAAGAACAGTGGTGAGATCGCCAGATCTTGTCCCCGAGCGGCGAGCTCTGGCAATGTGGCTACTGGATGAGGAACGCGCTGATCAGATGCATCGGAGAACACGCCAGCGGCGTATAAAATCGCGTGGAAGACGAGTTCTTCAAAGCTCGCGCTCGCCCGTTTCATTCTTTTGATCACAGATTCTAGACGAAGAACACACAGGCGGCATCGGCATTGGCATTGGCAAGGCGCATCGCGGCAGATTTTCATCGTGCTGTGCTTCGATTCTTTTCCTGAGTTTCGCCCGAAATATCCAGGGCGCTGCTCCTTTCTCCCTTCTTTCTTCGCAGATCGATCGAAATTTCCACCGATCCGATGGCGCTGGGTACCGGATGGCTCCAAATTCATAGCGATCGGCTCCAGCAGCAGCCGAAACTCGAGAGCGATCACGTCCTGGAGCAGCATAATCTGATAGGGCGCCTGGATCATTTCGAGAACCAGGCGCCTCTCACGGCCGATCACAGCGGCGTTCATTCAAGGCTCGAATTCGATCCTTCCGCCGAGGTCTTGGCGGCCATTGCCAGTGCTAGCCAGCAGCAGCAAATGCCACAGGTATCTTCCCAGTCGACGCCGGTGGTGAAGAGAAAGAGAGGGCCGGCTGGAACAAGCAGCAGGGAGAGGTCGTGCAAGATCCCCGCGCCCACCGCTGGCAAGCGAAGCTCGATCTATCGAGGTGTCACGAGGTACTATATCCTTTACACCGATCGATCTCCAAATATTTCGTTTCTTAATGTTTCTCTTCTTCCTCGTTTGCTGCAGGCACAGATGGACGGGTCGGTACGAAGCACATTTATGGGACAAAAGTACCTGGAATCATACTCAAAACAAGAAGGGCAAGCAAGGTAAGCTCGAGCTTTGTTTCAAACATGTATAACCAGCTTCTTCGGACTTGCCAATGGATGCGTGCAGTCTATCTAGGTACTTTCGCGTTGCTCCCTTATAGTTCGCTATCAAGTGGTGTGTGTCTAAAGTTCTTTGGTGCTTGAACTTTTCTTGTAGGAGCTTATGACGATGAAGAGGCTGCTGCTAGAGCTTACGATCTCGCTGCCCTCAAGTACTGGGGTCCGGGCACACTTATAAACTTCCCCGTAAGAAGCCTTTCAGTTTGACAAATTGCATACTAGCTGAAGAGCCTTTTGTAATTTGTGCAGGTAACAGACTACGCTAAAGACATTGACGAGATGCAGAGTGTCACAAGGGAGGAGTATCTTGCGTCGTTAAGAAGGTACGCTTGGGGTTGAGCATTGTCTTGACCGGACTATAAGTTTGTTTTTCTGTGCACAGGAAAAGCAGCGGGTTCTCTAGAGGTGTTTCAAAGTACCGAGGAGTGGCCAGGTGCTTGCGTTGTCCGGTCATTATTTAAATATCTAGATTGAGCTTTTCTCGTCTCTTTCGCTGCTTTCACAGGCACCACCACAATGGACGATGGGAAGCTCGTATCGGTCGCGTGTTCGGGAACAAGTACCTCTACCTTGGCACGTACAGTAAGTACAAATTGGATCCTGTTTATCTTGCTAATCAGCATTCATGCTTTCCATTTAGGTACTCAAGAGGAAGCTGCAGCAGCCTATGACATGGCTGCCATAGAATACAGAGGCCTTAATGCAGTAACCAATTTCGACTTAAGTCGATACATTCGCTGGCTGAGGCCGAAAGCTGGGGCCGTGGCACCAGACGGCGAGGAGTTTCAAGGCATGCCCCGAGCAGAAGCACCAAACCAGCAACTGTGGCCACCAATTCAACCCGGAAACTATGCAGAACAGCAGCTTCCGCTACTAGGATCGTTGGGCCTCGCTTCTTACGATCACGACAATAACAATCATCGTAGCAACAGCAACCAAGCTCAAAAGAAGGACGCGTCGCCAACGGCCCTGGGGCTGCTGCTCCAGTCATCAATGTTTAGGCAAATGGTCGAAAAGACGTCTGGTGCGAGCGGGCAGGAACTGAGCATGGACGTTGGTGGTCACTATCTAGCTGCTTCCGAGGTGTACCAACCATCTAGTAGTGACGTCCCAGACGAGGAACCGGATGCCCGATACTCGTTCCAGCCGGAGACTTATACGTTTCTCCAGAGCGAGAGTCTCCATGGACAAGATGATGGCTCCAATGACCAGCAATCGGAGCAGCAACAGCAGGAAAACCAGGCCGAGCCAGCCGCTGAAGAAGTTACTACAACAGATGATCAGGGCCTCTCATTATGGAGCACGTATAACGGATCAAGCTGCAGTACCCTGCCATTGACAAGCGCGATTGGCTCCTGACACGAGACAAGCCTCATAACTTAAATCACCTCATCAATCAGGTACATCATTTACAGTTTGGATTGAGAGCAACTTGGTCAGATTCCGTTCTAAATTGAAGCCTCTGGTGCTTGCAGTTAACAGATCAATGTAGCCAGAGAGGAGGAAGAAGCATAGAATAGAAGTGACATTCACGAGAAGTCGGCATCAGCAGGAAAAGCGACGCCTTGGATGGGATCAAGTTGGCGTAAATTAGAGCTGGCTCCTGTCGTCCGCCTCCTGTGAAGTTCACACAAATACAGACACAGAAAGTAGCTTGTTTTGTGAGCAACACAGTACCAGGGAGGTAACCAAAGGCACAGGTGCTTTTCTCCCTTTTGACTTACCGTTTCAAGTGCCGTGACAGATGAATAGATTGCTGGCCTGGCCGCGGACGAGTACTGCTTCAGCTTTGCAGAAAGAAGTGTCACCAGGTCCTTCATCATGGCCATCTGCAAATTATTGTACTGCTCCACGTCCTACATCGCGGCACACAACACAAGCACCCGAGTTAAAACTTAAAAAGAGGCGAGGTCCATGGCCGTGGAAGAGGAGACTGGGCGTGGGCTGGGCTTTTTTCCTAGACTCGACTACACAGGGAGGACAGAGTTTGATGTGTGTCACCTTCAGCCTTTGCTGCCGCTGCTCCAGCGTGAACTTCAACTCCTCCTGTCGCTGGAGCTCGTTACGGAGTCCGAGGCTGATTAGCGATCCCTGCTGCTCCTTGGAGACTGGACGTTAAAGGTTAAAACGCGAGGAGTTTAAGAGGAAAGAAAGCTGGCGCTTGCCTTCTTCCAAGGACGATTCCACGGCCTCGAGCTCTGCGCACTTGTCCTGGTACAGCTTGTTTTCCCGTGCAAACTCTCTCTGGACTGACTCCACTTCGTTTTGCAGCCTGCTTAGCTTCCTAAGAGACATCACCAGCACGCGACGAAACAAAAACTTAGAGGTCTTTACTCCACCGAGGAGGAAGAAGAAAAGGAAGAGACTTGGGATCCGACCTTTCATAGAGAGACGAGACTTCCAAGTGGTGGCGCTTCTTTTCCGCGTGGACGATCTCCAGGTCCTGCTTGGTCTTCCTCAGGCTCTGCAGGAGTTTGACCCTGGGGGCGACTTTCTCCTTGTTCTCCCGGAGCGACTCGTTGACCTCCGCCAGCAGCGAAGTCAACGTGCCGATGGCCTTGTCCAGCTCCTCGTCCCCGCCGCTCGACTCGAGCACGTCTTCCAGCATTCCTGTAACATTCCAGTTCGTGTAACATAGCTTTGGCTCTTACCTTGTGAGTTTAGTTTGATTTACCAGGAACGACGGGGTGTGGCATGGAGGAGGCCTGGTGCTGGAGAACTTGCAGCGTTCTTCGCAAGACTCCAAACTCGGTGGCCATGTCGTCAATCTCCTTTTTCATCGTCCTGTACGTGATGCTCTTCGCTCGCAGTGATTCCACAAACTGTTTGAGTTCTTCTCCTCGTAGAACTGTGCCTTTGACCTGAAACAGATGCAACTAAGTTGGTAAAAAGAAAATCGAAATTGTAAACAAATAGAGAAAGATATTTGCCTCGTTGATGAAGTTGGTTTTTTGAGAGAGGTCGACCACGAGTTGCTCTTTTCTTGCCGTGAGAGCCGTGAGCTTGTCAAACGCTACTTTGAGCCTCTCGGCGACCAAAGCACTCTGCTGCCACTGCACAGAGTCGCCGTCGGAGGAGAGCTCGTTTCTCTTCTCCGGGCAGCTTCGTTTCCTCAGAGATTTGAGCTCGTTGTTTGCTGATACAAGCTTTGCCTGTGTCGAAAGAACCTCCATTGCAACAAAAAAGGATGAAAAACACGAAGAGTACCTGAATTCGCGAGATTTTGTCATCGCCGTAGTTGGCAGCATTCAAAACTTTGTCAAGAGCGTCTTTGTGTCGCTGCTTGTCTGCCAGCTCCTGAATAAGAGTTTGGAAGAGACAAGGTCAATCAACAGGAGTGGAAGATATAAATCCCCCCACCTTTGGAAGTTTTGTGTCGGCGAGATAGCGTAGCATTGATATTTCCTGAGCAATTCTTTCGCTCATGAGCGGAGGTGGTGTGTTCACTAGGGCCTGCATGTACTCGAGCTTGAGCAGTGCTTTCCCGTGCTTCCCTGCGCGGCATATTGTTGCAATCAATCGACCAATTTGGAAGGAACTAGGAGGATGATTTAGATTTCTACCTGACTCGGCAGCTAAAGCTCGCTTTTGTTCCTTTACATTGTTCGCCAAGTTCGTCTCATCCAGCTTTTCGACCCTGTGTTGCTCAACCAATGCAAGGATTTGATCGAGCTTTGCTACATGCTGGACAAAACCAAACAAAGCACAATCTAGCAGCAGGAGAACGACGAAAAAGAAACCAGATGTGAACGACTTACTTGGAGCTTGGCTCGCAGTTTGGAGATTTTTGTAGACAGGTGTTCTTTCTCGGCTTCTAGTTTGTGGACGTTTTCTCGCAAAGAGACCACGTCTTTCTCCGTCTGCGCTTCCTGGAGGCTTTGCAGGCGGCAATAGTTGGCTTTGAAATGGTCCCTCAGAGCTCCGCATTGCGCTTGCAAGATGTTGCAGTCCTCGTCCAAGAGAAGCTCTCCAGGAATCTCCACTTCGCTTAGAAAGTGTGACAAGTATACGTGCTTCTTAAACACCAGAATCTAGAAAACAATAGCCAAGCAGCCACCAGGAAAAAGAAGTCAGAATATGAGAAAGGAAGAAACAAAACTCACTTTGCATTACTGTTTAGATGGAAAATGACCTGAGGAAGCAGCCACGAGAGCAAAGGATAAATCACGTCTTTGCTCCCGGAAGATAGACCTTGACGAAATGATATCCTGCATTAGGGGAGCGATTGAATCCAAGCGAAAAGAGCAGAAAAAAATATTTTCTTCTTACGCATCCATGTTGGGGAAATAATAGGAGCGCAAGAGCTCAATCATGCAAGCAGTGGACGCCTCTAGCCCATCGCTCTCCAAGCATTTCTTCTGGAAGAAGAATGAATCGATAGGTATTTAGATGGATGCGTTACCTGGCTGGGACTGATGTAGCTCAAAACGCGGACAAGTAGCTGCCGCAGCTGCTGGGGACTCTTTTGGCTGCTCAATAAAAGAAAAAAAAATAAAAAATTGTCTAGCAGTGATTCAGCGCAAATCCGCAAACCTAAATTCCAGAAGAGAGATCGTGTAGAAGAGCGGCGATGCATTGAGTTGAGAGACGATCGCTTGCAAATCCGCCATAGCATTAGGGCAAACTAAGGAGAAGATAGAATATTCTATATGCTTACTTTTAAGAACCCTAATTTCATGAAATTGGCGCCAAACGCTGTTTAAAGTTCTTTAGGAAGAGCTTATTGCAGAGATTGCGGCAAAATACTGTCCCCCCGGAAGATTAGTCCGCTAGATTGCACGCTTGTGTAGGCCATTCTGGCTTTCCAGTACCTTGTTCATTGTACCTCTTACAATTAAACCACATCTTTCTCAAGCCTTAACACCGCCATGAACGCGTCTTGGGGAACCTCCACTCTTCCCACCGATTTCATTCGATTCTTGCCTTCGGCCTGCATTGAACAAGTGAGCTGTGTATCAAGTGGCTTATCTACTTACTTGTTTCTTCAACAGCTTCTTCTTGCTCGTTATGTCTCCTCCTGCAGCATTGAGAAGTTTTGAGAGCTGTACAAAGAGTTGAAAGGAGAGCACAGACCGTAGCACTTGGCCAGCACGTCTTTGCGCATGGCTCAGGTTTGTTCACTGGCAAAGACTCTAAACCCAAGGGAAACCTGTACGGAGATCATGGGTTAGAGTTATGTAGAATACGGAAAATGAAAGAGGTGGCACCTGAATTGGTATTTTGAAGAGCTGGCGGGGAATCAAACTTTTGAGTTTCTCCGTCAGAGCGCGTCCTATGGTGTACGCCTGTCGAAATGGAGAGATTAAATTGCTATGCTGAGTAGAAACAGTGAACAAATACCTTATCTTTGTGAACGATTGCCGATAGCGGCTCCACAGGCTCCCCATTGATTCGTATATCAAGTTTGACAAGATCACTCACGCGATATCTGCATGATTAAACGTATGATTCAATACCAGCCTACGAAGAGCTTTTGATCTACCCGGTAATGGAGTACTCCATGCTCGCGTAGCCCTTGCTACGTGACTTCAATTGATCAAAGAAATCTCCAACCATCTACCAAAATGTTAAACGGCATTCAAGCAGAAGAAAATGCTTGAGAGTACTGTACCTCAGCCAGAGGAAGATCATAAACAACACAAGCACGGTTTTCAGTGATATAATTCATCTCTCTGAATTCTCCACGCCTTTCTTGTGCGAGCTCCATCAGAGTGCCAATGTACTCTTTCGGTGTTATCAGATCAATCTGGATCTTAAAAGTTTAAACTTTTGCAAAAAGCCATATAAAATTATGCCCACCTTCACATAAGGCTCCGAAATACATTTGCGATTTTCAGGGAGTTCCGAAGGATTCGAGCATTCAACCTGGGAATCAAGATATCATCACGGTTTTACCAAGAAAAACGGTACTTACAGTTTCTCCGTCAAGCCGTTCAATATTGTACACAACACTTGGTGCGGTTGTAATCAAATTTAAATTGTACTCCCTTTCTAGTCTTTCCTGTAAGCGTTTCATGAAAACTTAAGAAAAGAATGAAAATGCGCCAATTATTACCTGTACTATTTCCATGTGCAAAAGGCCAAGAAATCCACATCGAAATCCAAATCCCATTGCACTCGAACTTTCCGGTTCAAACTGCAGAATTCTAGATACAATGGCATCAGTGTTTAATAGGTGGCGGCTTAGCATCGAGGCCATACTCTTAAAGCAGCATCATTTAGCTGCAATTTCCCCAGTGCTTCTCTTAACTCGGGAAACCTGTTGAAACAGGACGAGTTCAGGTATTTCATTAGTGCAACAAGTAGACTCACTGATCTGCATCAATAGGAAAGAGGCCACAGAAAACCATTGGAGTTGCCTGCTGATATCCAGGAAGCGCCTTTTCAGCTTTTCTGGAAGAACTTGTAATGGTATCTCCAACCCTTGCGTCAGCGACTGAGCGAATTGATGCCGCAAGATACCCGACCTTTACAAAGGAACATCGTCAAGACAAAATGTGTGTTAAAGGTGCGTACCTCTCCTGCGTACAGCTGCTGCACGGGCATTTGTGAAGGCGACAATACTCCGATTTCATCAACCTGGTATTCCTGCATGCCAAATACACGTTCCGAGCAGCTGCATATGAGGAAAATACCCACCTTTCCACTAGCCATAAATTTTACTGATTCTCCTCGACGCAAGCTCCCATCTACGACTCTAAAGTACACGATGACGCCGCGGTAGGGATCGTAGTAACTGCAAAAAAATGTAGTGTTACACAGCGTGCAAAAGCTAAAAACCATTTTCAACCTGTCAAAAATGAGAGCTCTAAGAGGGTCAGCGGTTGTATCCTTCGGCGGGGGAATTTTTTTCACGACCGCTTCTAAAATTTCATAAATACCTATCCCTTCCTGAGTAAGGCCAAGAACATGCTCAAAGAAACTTACAAGAAGAACGGAAAAAGGTTACCTTTGCTGAGCACAAAATTGCGTCTGTACAATCTAAGCCTACTATCTGAAGATCCAAATTTAGCCACAAATCAAGCTATCAACCTGACCTCTTCGATCTCCTGGCGAACGCGGTCGGGATCAGCTCCAGGAAGATCTATCTTGTTTAAAACCTGCAATACAGCGAATTAGTTTGCTGCATTGAACGTAAAGAGCGCAAATACTATACTCACAGGTATTATCTCCAAATTGTTTTCGAGGGCTAGATACACATTTGCGAGAGTCTGAGCTTCCACCCCCTGCAAGAAGAGTTCGCATAAAATCGCTAGAAAAAACTTAGAATCAAAGCAAACACTTACTTGAGAGGCATCCACAACTAAAAGTGCTCCTTCGCAAGCAGCTAGTGACCTCGAGACCTTCACAAATGGTAGAGTCACAGGCAAACAACAAAACGAAAAGATCAATACCTCGTAAGAAAAATCGACGTGACCGGGAGTGTCTATGAGATTGAGGCAGTATGGCAAAGAGTCCTCGCTAATATATCGCATTCTTGCTGTCTGTAGGTCTCCTTCCAGATTATACACACGAAACTAGAGATTCTATGAAGAAACTGACCTGGAGCTTGATAGTAATCCCTCGTTCTCTCTCGAGATCCATATTATCCAAGAACTGCTCCTTCATGTCTCGATCCTCCACGGTCCCAGTCAGCTGCAAGAGCTTGTCCGCCAGGGTCGATTTGCCATGGTCGATGTGCGCGATTATGGAGAAATTCCGGATTTGCGGCACTGGAACCTGCGCGGCCAACACCAGAGAATCGATCCAAGAGCCGCATTCTTCCCAAATATCGATTTCACCTTGTCGAGACGATCGCGCCCAGTCCGGATTGCCGGAGAGCTGCTCGGACTGCTCGTCACGGCCGCCGCAATCACGCTGAATCTCTCGCGCAGTGGCGCCGCATTGGCGCTGCTGGCGCCGCTCCATGGAGACAAGAAGGCGCTGTGCAGTGGCGCCACTACCGCCATAGCCACACAATGCGCAAAAACCTCAGATATTACTACGTGGCGGATGACTCAGCACAACGTGCTTACGTGTCCTTGCTCCAATAGGCGCATGACTCTAGGGCGCCACTTTGCCCTAATTTCTGGGATGGCGAGAGCACTGCATTGCCAGGTTTGTGAGACAGAATCTAGGAATCGCAGCGTTTCTGGAGGGCGCTGCTATGGCGCCTTCGAGAAATCGAGCAAATCGAGCTTACGCGTGTTGGGCGCCCAGCGATCGCCTGACAGTGTGGAAAGATGGATAAGGAGTGTTGCAGGCAATGTGAGCAGCAGAGCTCGGCGGCAGGGGCATACTGGGCTCGTCTTTTCGTGGATAATGCCGAGAGAAGGCCTTTAGTGCAAGCACTCGTAGATCATTCCAAGCAAAGCAGTGCCGAGAAAAAGGAAGAACAGGAGAAAGAGAAGGAAAGATCCCGAGAGAAGTGAAGAACTGGTTTCTCTCGGTCTTTCTTCTTCTTCTACTATAGCATTAGCTTCTCAGCTTTCCAAGGATGGGTTGCGGTCCCTCGAAAGAGAAGGAGGAGGAGGCTCCAAATGCTTCTCGTGGACGCAGTAGAAGAGATCAACCTTCGTCAACTTCTCCAAGAGGTTCTCCAAGAGCAACACGGGGACGTTCTCAGTCTCCGGCTGGGGCTCGCGATCGGGGCCGTTCTCGCTCTCGCTCACCAACCGAAAGTAAATCGCGGTCTCGGTCTCGGTCTCGGGGAAGAAGCTTTGAGCCGTGGCACTATTCGCCGCAGTGCTGCGGCTTTCCTCCTCTCAAGCCGGTTCCACCGCGGAAGTACAAGATGAAGCGCAGAGTTTCTCAGCATGGGATACCTCTCGGGTGAGAGCTTTGGAACTTACAAAACGAAAGTTTTCATCTTTGCTTCCTCGTTTCCCAGGAGTAGAGCACCAACGCGCCTCACGGTTTTTGTCTTAGGTACTTCAAAAACTTCGTTTATGGTTTTCTTTCTCTCTTTAAAAAAGAGAGAACGAGTAACTAAGTGTTGGAATTGTTTTTCTAGGTGGCCCGGGATGCGGGAAGGGGACACAGTGTGAGGAGCTTGTTAAAAACTACGGATTTGTTCATCTCTCCGCTGGCGAGCTTTTGAGGGATGAAATAAAAAACAAGACACAGATTGGAATCAGCTGCGAAGAACTTATGGCAGAAGGGAAGCTTGTGCCATCCGAGATTCCACTTAATCTCTTAAAGGCGGCCATGGAGAAATCCGAACACAAGCATTTTCTTATCGATGGATTTCCACGATCAGTGGATCAGGCGCAGCTCTTCGAGAAAAAGGTACAGCATTTGTCACATTCTTTGAATTATTTTCTATCATGTTCTGATCTCGTTTTGAGCAGATTGGAAAGCCAAATCTGGTGATATATCTTGAATGTCCATTCAAAGTCATGCAAGAGCGGCTCTTGAAGCGTGGTGAAACAAGCGGACGCAGCGACGACAACATGGAGACCATCAAGAAAAGGTTTGAAACTTACCGCAAGGAATCGTTTCCGGTTGTCAGGTTCTATGAGAAGGTTCCAAATCTTTTGAAGACGGTGAGAGAGTTGACACTCTAAAACTTCTTTATACTGACTTAAAAAACTGACTTTAAAAACTGTGTGTGCAGGTCTCTTCCGCCATGTCGCCGACCGAAGTCTTTGAGTACATTGCGCAACTTCTCAAGGATCAATATGGTCTTTTTGCAAAGTTCGCGCCTGTTCTTACAGGATTCGACCACAGACAACACAACTGTAAGAGACGCACCATTATTTTCGTTCTAGGTACTTCTCCCCTCATTCCTTTCCTTGTTCTCCAGATAGCATTTTTTTCCTCAATTTTTTTCCTTTGACTTTCTTTGTTTCAGGTGGCCCTGGCTGTGGCAAAGGAACTCAGTGCGAGCGAATGGCAAGTAGACAGAAATATTTAGCTAAAGGATGACTGAAGTACAGTTTTTCTGCTTTTTTTTTCTTTTTCACAGGTCAGAGACTTTGGCTACTCGCACTTGTCGACAGGAGATTTGTTACGGGCAGAGGTGGCGTCGGGCTCCGAGCTTGGCAAGCAATGCGACACTTTGATGAAGGAAGGAAAGCTAGTGCCTCTGGACGTGACCATCAATCTGCTCAAGCAAGCAATGGGGAAAGCCAAGTGCAAGAGGTTTCTCATTGATGGTTTTCCCCGTGCTGTGGATCAGGCCCATGAGTTTGAAGCCAAGGTTATGTGACTTCGTTTCCTATGCTCCTCAAAATTTTTCCTTTTGTCACAGGTTGGCAAGCCAGACGTGGTTTTGTGCTTGGACTGCTCACTCGAGCTTATGGAGAAGCGGCTTTTGCAACGTGGAAAAGCCTCTGGCCGGGCAGACGACAACATTGAGACGATCAAGAAGCGCTTTGAGACGTTCCTGGCCGAATCGAAGCCCGTGATTGACTACTACAGGAAATCGTTGCCAAAGGCTGTGAAAACGGTAAGGATACGTCATTGTTTTCTGTTGACTTGGTGTTTCTGTGCGTAGATCCCAACCGATAAAATGCCAGACGAAGTCTATGCTGACGTGAAAACCGCTCTTAAGGCTACTGTTGAAAAGCCAGTCCCTCCCAAGGTCCCAGCCAAGGCAGACTTTCGATAGATAGATTTGTAAATCTCCCAGTTTTGATGGTTTTCTACTCATCCACAAGCTAATGCCATGCTTTAGTTTACTTCAATTCAAGGAGTTAGTTTAATCCATGGAGAGATATTTATATTATAACCTCATCCTTTAACTAGCATTTGCCTAGCATATGCTGCCCAGTTAGTAAAATACTGTTTTGATTGTTATACTTTTGTTATATTAAAAATTAAATTGGAATAGTATAAAAAATTAAATATTATATTCCACTTTGAAAGAAGAATTAAGGGAATTATGCCCAGCAAATGCTAGGTGAATACAAATATCAATTCTTGTAAACTTGATAATATAAATAGAACAAAATATAATCCTAAGCATAAGTAAGAATAAATATTCATTAATAAAATATTAAATACAAATTATTATTTGAAAATATGAATATATTTGGAAAATACCCGAAAAAGAGCACATGTCATAGCTCACAAAACCCTAAATCGAGGCTAAAGAGATTCACATATGAGCTTGAATCACAACCTGAAAGCACCAATAATCAAGCTTGCTATCATCCTAGATGCTCTCCACTAAACCTTAGAATTTACCCTCTCAATTTTAGAGGGTCTCTATTGCAAAACGTTGAGTGTTAATGCCAATTAACACTTTGCATGACATGTTGCCCAACAAATGCTAGATAAGTACAAAAATCAATAATTTAATACAATATTTTCCTTTTGATATTTCTACATACACACATAATACTATACAACATAGACGACAAACAAGAAACTCAAAGACATCCAAGCATTTGTAAAAAAACTCAAGTAGCTTATACTTTTAGCTGAAGAGGACATCTAGATGCAAATAGTGAGCAGTTTGGTCTTTTATTTGTTGGATGTTTGAGGTTTTTGCATTGCAACAATTACTTGCAAAGATTCTAAATTTGTTTGTATCCCAAGTAAAAAAATTTATTTTTTAGTAATTCTTCATTTGCTTTTTTTTTTCTGGGAGTGTACTAAATATATATATAATCTAATAACTATTAAAAAAAAATTCTTAGAAATTTTTATTTTACTTTTCTCTTGGTTGGGTATTAAGTTTCTTAAAATTTTAATATTCTAAATATATTTATATTCCCAAGTAGTACTTTGCATATATTATCTTTATTAATAATATTTACCATTAATTCTTCTTTTCTCACTTTGGGAATATATTAATATTCTAAATATATGGTATAAACTACAAAGCTAATCTCTTTCACAAGGTGCGAACTTCTTTAACAAGTTCATCCACTTGTTCTGCATGGAGAGGTTTTTCTTCTATCTTCACTAGATCCTATTTGAGCACTTAGAAGATTTCCTGTCCTTTTGAAGGCAATCACAACACATTTGAATAGTCTTCATGTTCATATCCAGCAATTTTAAGACTTTCTCCAAAAGTGTTGCCTTGAAGTAAAACTACAGCATAAGCATATGTCAGACCACCTTCAGCTTGGAAATGAAAGCTATTGTTACCTTGAATTTCTCTTTCTCACTACCAGCACTTAGAAAATCTCAACTCATGTCTTGAGATATAATCACACATGAGTTTTCCGCATCAATCTACAAACAAAGGTGATAGTAGGAAAGTAGAAAATTTTAAAAATACAATCTTAGCTTACACTAAGATGGTTGATCACATCACACAAATCCTACTTGTTTGAAGAAAGTTTTTCACTTGGAGTACACAATACAAAAGAAGTAAATCCCTCACACGATAGAAAACCAACCTTAGTGATTTTTCAAGATAATAATTTTTCAGCAGTAATTCTCCATTGAATCACTATTGTCTTGCCATATAGAGTTGGCTTAATGATCTGACCCTTCATTTTTTAACTCTACCACTACCAAAGCAAACTTGGAACTGAAACAATGCTAGAAGAAAGCATGGACAAATTGATTAGATCTTGATACAAACCGTACCAGGATGTGGCTCATTCCAGCAACATTGACACAATGCCTCAAATTTGGATCGCAAATCGGCAGTAGTGGTAGGGGCTCTCTCACCATTTCATAAACCTTAGAAAAACATTACAAAACAAAACTAATTCGCTTGATAGACCATGGGCGCAGTCATGGTCAACACATTTGCATGTGACATGTGTTGCTGTGCCTTCCTCTCCTACCCCATGCAACTTGGTTGCCTCCCATTGGCTAGGAGCAAACATCAGTGCGATTATTCGCGAACATGTGGTTAGAGAAATAACTTCTTTATAATTACCCCTTATTGGACGGCTGCAATTGGCTGGATCCGGTGGCCTAGAAAGTTTAGCAACTCCTCCTCAAAGGAAGCAATAAAATTCTATATGCCAGGGTCTAAAATGCTATATAATTTGCACTTAGATAAAATATCCCATTACAAACCCATAACTAAAAAATAACATTCTAAAATTGAGTAGTACCTCCTACAATCCCATTGGAAGTCTCTATCTGAATGCCTAAATCTGGATATAGAGAAGGTTTAAGAAACAAAAAAGCTAAATGCCAGTACTTGCTAAAATAGCAAAGGGACTTTGAAAATGTAATGGCTATTTGAAGTCTTCTTGCATACCTATTCCTCCTAAAATACTATCTATATATTATTATTTCTACTATAAAGCACTGTATTGGAATAGACTAAATACCTAAAGCACTAAGTTGTGTAAAGCGCTCAGATCCTGGAAAAGAAAGTGATTAGATTCTTCAAGATAAACACAAACCTAATTCACTGCTCTCTCCACCTATGTCTACATCACCTAGAACTTATTGCTACTACGAAGAGACATCATTTAGTGATGACTAGTAATAGTAGTCTACATAGTCTTGAGACCCCACATTAGAATCACTAGTTGCAGCTACCATCGGAGAGAGAGATCTTGAATGAAGCAATTAATTAACTTTGCGTTAATCACAGCCATTGAGCCACATCATTGAGCACATGCAAAACTCGCAATAGCTTTTTCGCTCGATAGGACAGACAATAGGTGCAGTCATGGTCAACACTTTGCATGCGACATGTGTCATAGCGCCTTCCTCTCTCACCCACGTAGTTTGGCTGCCTCCCAATGCAGCAAACATCAGCACTCCCTCCATCAACACCCCATTCTCTAGTTGGATGCGCGATCCCAGCTCACTTGCTTGCACCGCAAGCCCAAGGGTGGCAGGACTGGGAAATGCCCCTTGTCTTTCTTCTGCAAGACACAGCTCTTGTGGCTCACCACGCAATCATTGAATTTGTTCACTCACCTCGTTCTAAAAAATGTCTCTGCATTTTATCTAAAAGTATTCGTGAATCAATCGATCCAAAAGAAGTTTTACACAAAATCTTTAGACTTACCTGGCACTTGGTCTCGTCAGGTTGATCGTTACAAGTTTGCAAGCACGAAGGATCTGCAATGCATCAAGCGAGCTCCAATTAGAGGAAAAAAATTTAAAAAAAACACTCGTCTTTCTTGAAGGACAAAAGAGAAGAATAAAATTACTAGCATTCTTTCAGAAGACAAGAGCACATCTTAAGAGCATCGGCCTCAAATGCGGGAGTTCCAAGCAAAATCATGCCAGCAAAAACTGCAACTATATGTGTTCTCCAGTTCAAATGTTTTCCTAGCAAAAATTCCCTCTTCTCGATGGATTTCTTGATGACCACATTGCTTCCTGAAAAACTCCTGGTGATTCTGGGAGACAATCTTGAGAAGTATAACTTGGTCATAGTTTTTCTTTCTACAGCCCTCTTGCTCAAGCAATGCTGCTGCCAGGTGAGCCTAGTACCTAGAGGAGTGCAAAATACCCTTGCATTCATCACAAAAATGGATAAAAAGAAAAAAAGAGAAAGATACTGAAAAAAAAGCAGAGCAAGAACAACAGATTTCACTTCAACACACACGTTGATTCATATATGGCTATATATATATACAACTTCAATCAAATAAAAAATCACCAAAGATCTGATCACGATTTGGATTGCTTCTGATATGAATCGTCTTGCTTGTCGTGTTCATCATTATTCCTACACTCCCCCTTCAAGCTTAGGGCACTTGACACTCCAAGTTGATTCTTCAGCTTGATGAATGTGAGCTCCGAAAGTGGCTTGGTTAGAAGGTCTACCAACTGATATTGTGAAGGAACATATTCCAGGTGAAGATCTTCGGTTGCTACACGTTCGCGAATGAAGTGATGCTGCACGTCTATACATTTCGTATGAGCATGAAACACAGGATTCTTTGACATGGCGATTGCACTTTTGTTGTCACAATGCAGAATAGTCGCATCTGATTGCTGTTGATTGAGTTCTCCAAGTAATCGACAAAGCTAGATGATCTCCCTTGCTGTTGTACTGGCAGCTACGTACTCCGCTTCTGCACAGGAAAGAGCAACTGTTGTTTGCTTCTTGCTTCCCCATGAAACCGAAGCACCAGCAATTATGCAGCAAATTCTAGAGGTTGAATGTCATGTACCCAAGTTGCCAGCCCAATCTACATCGCAGTAAGCTTGAAGAACAAGTTTGGACTGACCTGAGCATTTGTAAACCAATCCATGAGCAGTTGTTCCTTTCAAATACCTCAAAACTCTTTTTGCCATTTGCCAATGATAACAACTCAGAGACTGCATGTATCGGCTGAGGAGGCCAACGGCAAAGGAGATGTCAAGGCAAGTCATATTGGCGAGGTAGAGTAGTCCTCCAACAAGCAATCGGTAGACCAAGGGCTGATCAAATAAATCATCCATCTTGCTTGTGAACTTGATGCCAGTGATGACTGGTGTAGCCACGGATTTGCAACTTGTCATGTTGAACTAGTTGAGAAGCTTCTTCACATATTGGTGCTGTGTGAGGGTGATTCTCCTATCTACTTCATCCCTGTCAACTTCCATCCCTAACAGCTGCTGCACAACTCCTAAGTCCTTCATCACAAAACTGTCCATGAGCTTGATCTTCACATCCTTCAAAACAATGTCATTGTTGTTGACAATCAAATAGTCGTCCACATAAACTGCCATCACAACAAAGTGATCACCCTGCTGAAGAAGATATAAATTTTCATTGCTGTTCAACCTTTGCATATTGAGACCCATAAAAAAAGAATCCAAA